TTCACCCTCTCACAACGCATTCCTTCATTCCTCCCCTCGCGCCCCCAATTTATGCTCTATTCATCTCAGCCAACCAACGTCGTTCCGTACCAGAGCTCAGGCCTGGCATTCGCCGGACCTGCCGCCCGCTCTTTTCCCGGCTCTCTCCATCATCGACTTTGCCAAAGCTGCCTGCAAGGCTCGGCGTGGGAGGTCCGGCAGCAGGCGCCATTGTGAAAGCGGGCTCAGCAGCAGGAGGACGAGTTTCTCTGCTAGAAGGTGTGCCTCGTAAACCACAAGTTGGTGATTATATAATGTATTCTCCTAGCCATGCCTGTCTTATGAGCTGTTTGTCGATCTGCGTTGACTGTTTGCTGCCTCACTTGTGTGAATAGTCCATGCCAGCAGTGCGTTTCTGTGTTGCTCCACCTGGCCCACGTTTCCACTTTCACCTGCAGTGACATTTTAGTCGTCTTAACTACTTGCAGGCATGTCATGCCATCATCATTGCTCTTCCGTCTGTGTTTCTTTTTCTGTTCTGTGCCGCCTTCCACATCTCCCTTACCACGTCCTCTTCCCCCATATCCTCCGCCCCATCTCCTCTCCCGCCTCTCCCCACACCCGCAGGGCGGTGGAGGCGGGGCCCCAAGGGCTTCCCCAAGTCGATGGACGGCTGGCGCTGTGCTCTCTCTCTTCCCCCCTCGCTCCCTCCCTCTCGTCTTACTATGTGTTGTCTCCCCACCGCCCCGCGTCCCCTCTCTCTCACCCGCAGGGCGGTGGAGGCGGGGCCCCAAGGGCTTCCCCAAGTCGATGGACGGCTGGCTGCGATTCAACTGCCCTGTCGTGGACGGGTGCGTTATGGGGGCGGGGAAGGGGGATAGGGTGGGTGTAGAATGCAGGGGGGAGGGAGAACGGATGGGGGAAAAGGGGCGAGAGGGTTGGGAAGGGGGAGGTGGGGGAAAGGTGACTCAGAACATACCTGGTGGACGGATTGTGGCGGGAGGGGGGCAGGGAGGGGAAAGGTGGGGAGGGGGAAGGAAGTGGGGTGGTGAGGGTGGTGGAGTGGGGCAGGGACTGTGGGAATGATTCAAGACTTGGCAGACTTGGCTGGGCTCTGCGTAGTGGAATATCTTGTGTTTGTACCGCTGTTTTTCTCACCATGATGGCCCTGCTGATTCACGTGCTGGCTTTCTCATTCTCAACTCTCCCTATCCCACCCCACTCCACCCCCACCCCCCCTCCCCCTCCTCCCCGCCCCCCTCCCCTCCTTTCTCCCCCACCCGGCCCTCTTCCGCGTCGCCTCTTCAACCCCTACAACTTTCAACCCTCTCCGTCCACCAGCTTCGTCAGCAGTCCCTTTGGCTGGCGATGGGGATCCTTCCACGAGGTACGCCCTCTCTTCTCCCTTCCATTACCCCTTCATTTCACCTCCTCCATACGTTTGCGCCACTCCTTCTCTCCCACCCCCTCGTCTGCTGGTCCTCTCTACTTTCCGCCTGATGAAAGAGAGAGCACTCGCGCATCTCGCTTTGCTGCTCTGCATCCCCTCTCTTTCATCCGCTTCGTCCTTAAACTCCCATTTTCAACCCTCCTGAAAGAAGAGTGTTTTTGAGACGTCTGAAAATCAATCTCGCATTGCCACTCTGCATCCCCTCTCTTTTCACCCGCTTCGTCCTTAACTCCCATTGTCGACCCTCGTTATCATCATCTTCAATCCGCGTTGCCAACCTCATCTTACATTGAGATTGCACTGAAATCACTTCTGTTCTTTTGCTCTCTCTCTCATCCCTCCATCCATCCATCCCTCCCTCCCTCCCTCCATCCATCCATCCCTCCCTCCCTCCCTCCCTCCCTCCCTCCCTCCCTCCCTCCCTCCCTCCCTCCCTCCCTCCCTCCCTCCCTCCCTCCCTCCCTCCCTCCCTCCCTCCCTCCCTCCCTCCCTCCCTCCTCTCCCCATCACCCAACCTCCAGGGTGTGAATCTAGCTGCGGTGTCTGGTGTGCCAGTACTTGCGTCTTTTTTTTTTTGTCAACACAAGTATTCCCTCTTTTTCCGTCTCTCTCCCTCCTGTTCTCCTTCCCCCCTCCCCCAACCTCCAGGGCGTGGATCTAGCAGCGGAGTTTGGGGCGCCAGTGCTGGCGTCAGACAAGGGCGTTGTGACGTTTGCAGGCTGGAGTGGAGGGTGAGAGTGTTTGTGCGTGTGAGCTTGTGTGTATGCACGTGCGCATATGTGTGTGTGGGGGGGGGGATGGAGGGGAAGGGGGGGTAGGTGGGTGGGATGGTGAAGGCCTTCACAACCCTCCCGCCCACCTCAGCTAAGCTCTCCTATCTCTCCAGGTACAGCAAGCCGGTGACGGTAGCACATGACAAAACCTTCATAAGCCTCCCCACCCCTTCCCCTCCCATTCCCATGTTTCATCTGCTCCAATCTCTCCAGGTATGGCAAGCTGGTGACGATAGCACATGACAATGGCTTCACCACTCGATATGGTCACTGCTGCATCATCAACGCACGTGTTGGGCAGGTGCGTGCTGGCTCTTGAGAGGTGGGGAGGGGGGGTGTTGTGCAGGAATGCGCGGTGATTGACGTGGCGTTTTCTGGCATGCAGCAGTGTGTGTTGAGGTGGGGCTGCTTCAAGTGGGGCTGACTTATGTAAGGTTGCCTCAAGGGAATTTCTGAGTGGCCTGCTTCCTAGCTTGCTTGCTACAGATTTGCCCCTTCACATCCACCCTCTCACCCATGAGTCTTCCTCCATCTGTGTGTCCATCTGTGTCTGCGTGTGTGTGTGTGTGCAATTGCATGTGTGTGTACGCATGGCCACTGCAGCGAGTGGCAAGGGGGCAGCAGGTGGCGTGTGTGGGGGCAACCGGGCGAGCCACAGGCCCGCACTTGCACTTTGAAGGTAAGCGCACCATCGGCCTGTTGTTCCCCCACTGCACTCACCCTCTCACACTTCCACCCTCCCGTCCTCACTTGTGTGTGGGAGCAATAGGGCGAGCCACAGGCCCGCACCTGCACTTTAAAGGTAAGCGCACCATTGGCCTGTAACCCCACCCACCAACCTTCCTGTTGACTTGCTCCCTCCATCCCACTCTCTCTCCTCACTTGTGTGTGCGTGGGCAACCGGATGAGCCACAGGGCCCCACCTGCCACCATTTGCCTTCCTCTCCTCCTCCCTTTCCCTTCTCTTCCCTGTCCTGTTGTCTCTCCATTCATCCCCCCCGCTCCCACACCCACATGTTGTCGCCCCCACTCCCACATGTATACATTCGCAAACCTCCCCCTTCCAACCCCCCCACCTTATTCGCTTTCTTGTGTCTTTGACTCCCTCCTTTCCCCCCCCTGTGGCACCTCACACTAATCCCCCCTTAGTGGCACCTCACACTAATCCCCCCTTAGTGGCACCTCACACTAATCCCCCCTTAGTGGCACCTCACACTAATCCCCCCTTAGTGGCACCTCACACTAATCCCCCCTTAGTGGCACCTCACACTTCGCCCCCCATGCCCCCCTCCGTCTTATGGCACCCCCCACTTATTAGCCTTCTGTCTACTCACACATATCAATCCCTTCCCCCTTGTTCCATCTCATACCTATCCTTTTCTTTCCCCCACCCCATGGCATCTCACACAAGTCCCCCACTATTCCCCTCTGTCATCTTCCTCGCTCTCTGCAGTCCGCAAGAGAGGGGAAGCATTGGATCCGTTCAAGTGGTGCAATCTATGACAGGATAGGTCTGGCTGAGAGGGGCTCTACGAGTGAATTCCAGGGCAGTTGTCAGAACGGGAACGCCCTGCTGAGTGCTGCTGCTGCTGCTCATACTGCTGCTCCTGCCCATCCAGTCTTTTCCAAAAGTAGTCTCACTAAAAGCTCCCGTTTCCATCACAGGACAGTGTCAAGTGAGCAGGCTGAAACGAGGCTGAACAAAGTTTGAACCCATGCGTCTGACTGGTGCTGCAAAAAGAGCACCGGTTGTCAAAGAGAAGAATTCTGGGGCTTGAGAGTCCCATAATGCCACCGCATGGAACAGTCTGAAGGACTCCAATTTACCATCTGCAAGACGTAGCTTGGTCACTTCACTTGCTTAGGTTTGGTAGGTCTAGTGATGCAGGCGACAGGAGGAGGAGGCAGACGCGGATTTTGGGGCTCGGTGGAAATCGTGGTGTGGAAAGTTGGGGTGGCTGGAGTCGTGTTTTTCCGTACGAGTTATCCATTTCCTCTCCTGCAAGGGAGCTGGTTCTGGATCACAGAGCACTACGTTCTATTCTATGCAAGCTGCATTAGCATGAGAGACACTTGGTTGTAGTATTCTAATACATGTGTAGCTTTGCGTATGAAGCTACTTATGTTGCTCTCATCATGGCACCGTGATGTGATCTCTTCAATAGTTCCTGAACAGCAGCCATTTCTTTCATGCTAAATGGTTGAATGCAATGAGATTCGTGGCACAAAGGACGAGAACATATGCATGCTCAAATTGTACAGGATCCTCCTGGGGAAAGAACAAAATCTGACAGTCTTCATCTTAGGAAAATCCAAGGATGCCAAAACGTACCGTATGTACAAAGAATGCTTGCATGCCTGCCATCTCTGCTCCCTCCATTCCTCCCCTTCCTTCTCCTCCCCTCGCTTTCCTCTGTTACCACCTGCAACCTTGGGCGGGCCACAGACCGTATGTGGCAACAGGACGACAACACCCAGGCCAGCAGCAGCAGCAGCGAGTGAGCCAAACCGGCAGCTGGCCAACCGATCAAACCCCACTACAGGCTGAGATCAGTTGAACCAAGCTCAGAGCTGGTCGGAAATGGCCCCTCCTTCTCCCCACTCTCCCCACTCAACTCTTCCTCCGCCTGCCAAACCAAAAACCTCCCAATTGCATCACGCAACATCACCACTCCCACCAGCTCTCCTCCTTCCCCTTCCTCCCGTGTGACGTAGATGCGATGCATGCGTGCCACCCGTAAAGCGCGGATAACATCGCGCAGTGACATCCCAACTATCACCATCACCATCCCCTCCCACTACAGGCTGAGACCATCGGAACCAACCTCAGTGCTGGCTGGAACCGGCTCCTCTACCTTCTCTCCCCGTGTCTCTCCCTCCTCCTGCCTCACCAGAAACCGTCCAATTGCATCCCGCAGCGTCACCACTCCCACCAGCTCTCCTCCTTCCACCCCCTCTTCCGGCTCCCGGGTGACGTAGATGCGGTGCACGCGTGCCACCCGGAACGCGTGGATCACCTCGCGCAGTGGCGTGGACAAGCGGCACGTCACGGGCGGCACCATGATTGGCCAGATGACGTCAGCAGCACCGTGATGCGGCCTCTGCGCATCGTGCACCAGTTCTGCCACCGTAAGCGGCCTGGGGGTTGGTGGGGATGGGACCAGAGGAGGGGAGGGAGGAAGGGACACATTCTGAACACGCCGAGATTTTTTAGAGTTCTCAAAAGAATCCTTGGAACATCAAGGACGAGGAAAGGGACACATGCTGAACATGCCGTACACTAAAGTTGCTGCGCGTCGTACATTAAGTCTGTCACTGTGAGGGGTCTGAGGGTTGGTGGGGGTGGATGGGGATGGGAGAGGAAGGGGGAATTGTGGGGGAAGGAGGAGCAGGGGATGCAGAGAAAAGGGAGAAAGTAGAAAAAAGAAACAATAGTTATTTTCTGTGGAGTTATATGAGGCTGTGCAAGGTGCTCCAGATCTGCCACTGTGAGTGGCCTGGAGATTGGTCAGGTTCGAGGAGAGTGAGGGGAACAAAGGGTTGAGGGGTCAATGCCGAGAATATGACCACCGAGAAAAGGATTGGAAAGGGGAAGAACAAGATTGCTGTTATGCTGACCATTTAAAAAACGATTGGGATGGGTGCATGTCATGCCTGCACCATTATTAAGCCGCATGGCATGCACCAGACTCACTACTGCGGCGATGGTGGGAGCGCGCAGGAGGAGGGGGGGAGGGTGGAGGGGGGGGAGTGTGGGTGAACGCAGAACAAGGGGAGAAACGAGCAGAAATTGCAAAATGGAAGCAGTGCAGTGGTACGGGGACACAATGGAGGCATTTTACTTGATATGGTGTTGCTCTGCAAGATGCGGAGACGTAAGCAGCTGCAGAACGTCCCTCGCGCTGACATTTGCCGTGATGCGATTGGTCCCCGGCGCTACCACGGGCACTCCACCAATGTCATGCTGCAGCATCAGACGGAACGGCTCCATTACCGGGTCCGACTCCTCCACCTGCCACCATAACGCGTACAGAAGGAAAAGAACCTTTCAGGCATGAATGAAGGCCCTCCTGCCTGGCAGGAGGCCCGGAAGGACCGTGCAAAGGATTGTAACATGCGATTGGTCCTCGGCGCCACCAAAGACCTTCCACCAATGCCATGCTGCAGCATGAGACGAAACGGTTTCATTACCGGGTCTGACTCCTCCACCTGTGATCATAACGCGTACAAAAGAGAAGAAACGCAGAGAAGCACTAAGGGCATGTTCGGACAATCACCACTCCAAAACGTCTAGAAACCCACTTGAACCAATCGTTCTAAAAATATACCACTTTGAACCGTTCTGACGGTCCGGTCCAGTCCGGAAAAAATCGAAAATGTAACACGCCCTAACCGCACCTGTGTGTGAAAGAATTTTTAAAACCCTGACACTTAATGTTTACAACTTAATAGCACCCTGCCATTAGCTCGGTGCAGACCCGGGTTCGATTCCCGGCTGGCACATGACCTTTTGATCCCATGGGATGCCCAAGAAAACCCATCGGCAATGCTATCCTTGCTGTCACCTGCCTCACACTAGGAAGATGAGCTTTGAAGACCGATCTCATTCCTCCCAAATAATATCTTCAATCATACCTTCCTCCCACCCACTGAACTCCCTTTGCAACCTGGTCTCACCATTACCACACCTGGTCTCACCGTCACCACACTTTCCCAAACTGGTCTAACAATCACCACTCCTTCCCAGAGATGGTCTCATCATCCCTTCCAAGAAATGGTCTCATCATCACCACCCCTTCCAAGAGATGGTCTCATCATCACCACCCTTTTCCAGAGATGGTCTCATTATCACCACACTTCACCGCATTACACCTTGCATAGCATGCACCAACTCACAAATGACACCCCCATTTCCCGGATGCACCAACTCACACATGACACCCCCAATTCCCGGATGCACCAACTCACCCATAACACCCTCATCTCCCAGATCTTTCTTCTCTGCTTGGCTCAGCCCAATCAGCATTCCATACAGAGAAATCCCATACTCTATTATATCAGCCCCCATTCTCTGCCACCTGCACACCCAGGGTTTAGCACCCACCCTTAAAGCCATGCTCTCACCTAAGTGACCACTTACTCCACTCTCATCCCTTGCCGTCCATTCCTTGGCACCATAAACGCCTCTTCCCCCCCCAATGTAGGCTAAGGCTGTCTGTCACCTATGATCCAAAGTCCCTAGGCCCTTTACTTGCTCCTACCCATCACCCATGTTAGCCTTTGCATGTCACATACCAGACTTTGCATCTCACATGTCCCTCACCTGAACAACTAATTCCGCCGTCTTGCTCAGCAGCCCCATGCATCTCCATCCCTAAAAGTTCACCACAGTATGATTGGGATGGCTTGCACTTTTGACGTCACTCAAAAATGACTCAAGAAGCAAGTGCTGTTGGTGCCGTCGTGTGTGAGTGACTCAAACATCGTGGAAATGACTCTTCAAACTCAGCCAAGCTACCCATCCTTCCGCTATCAGCGTGCTGCCATTCAGCTGTTGTCGTGATTACCAACAAGCAGTAATCACAGCATCTCAGTCCTTGTGTCGAAAATGGTTATGCTGCAAAAATCTTGAAAACATCTGATCAGTGCCAGTGGTCTAGTGGTAGAATAGCACCCACAAAAGGGGTTTCCGCACTCCAACGCAGCTACGGTGATTGGTTCAGCAGCAGCCACTCGTGAAAGTGAGAAGACAACCCACTATGCTGCAGCACTTCATGACCGTCCGGACGTCAAACTGTTTCCCCTTGCCATCGAAACCTTCGGTTGCTTCGGCTCATCGTTCAACAACTTCCTTCGCCAATGCAGCCGAAAAGGGGCTTCACAACTCCGCGACTTGAGTGGTGCTACAGATTCTCTTCCCCTGCTGTTTGAGACCAACTTCTACAAACGGATTTCTCTGGTCCATCAACGTGAGCAGGCTCGCACTGTTTGTCGTCGTGCACAAATTCGTTTTACCGAGGGCGTCAACCACGCACCACCCGAGGTGACTTCTCTTTCTGCAGCTGACTTTGCCTACTTTGGAGAGGACCACTGAAACATCTCAGAGGCCTATTTGTAGCCCTTACAATAGGATTAGCCTGCTTTCCATACACTAGGTCTCTGGATTTGCCTTGTATCCATTGTACATTTAGTATAGAGTTAGTAAAGAGATAGAATAGCACCCTGCCATAAGCACGGTGCAGACCCGGGACCGATTCCCGGCTGGCACAGGACCTCTGTTGTATCTTTTGAACGACACAACCATGACATGAGCAGCTAAGGGCGTGTGTGATTTAGCCGAACCTGACTGAAAGTTCGAACTTTTATAACGGTTCGTCACGTTAGGATACAATTAGAAGAGTTTTGCCACGGTGCAATGCGGTTTGAGTTCGAACTTTGTCAGGTTCGGCAAAAACACACACGCCTTAATCTCAGTGCTTTTCCGTGCCATAACATGTACCTTCAGCAGACGTCGCCTCAAATATGGTGGTCACCTCGTTACCCAAGCAGCCACCACCCACTGATATCCCTGGATGCACCTTCATCATTCATCTCAGCCTGATTTGAAGTAACTGATTTCACCTCGATGAGTCATTGTGGCAGGTTTATCATAAGTATGATTGTCCTCTCATTTTGGCCTAACCACACCTACCTTCCAACCACTATTCCCTGCGCTTATATTCTTCTTCACCCAGAAACTAACCCTGGAAAGAAACCATGCACTCACCTTGAACATCAACTCTTCCATTGTTCCCGGAAATCCTCACTTCACAAGACTGGACACGCATCCCCAAGTTCATCGCTTACCAGTCCGAGTAGTGATTGTAAACCATAGAAACGTAAGAGCAGTGCCAGTGGTCTAGTGGTAGAATAGCACCCTGCCATCAGCTCGGTGCAGACCCGGGTTCGATTCCCGGCTGGCACAATGTCTTTTGTTTTGTACTTGCTGTTGTGAAACAGAGCAACAGCAGTCCACACCCCTTCCCCTAACACCAGTTTTGTTTCACTCACACTCCCAGACCCCCAGTCTCACCTTCACAGTCGATTCTGCACCCATTCTTGGCAGCCCCATCTCCTGCAGACTCCTCCCCGCCACCCACTCAAACCACGGCTGCCTTTCACAATCCAAGAGCCTTGACCAGTCTCACCTTGACAGTCGATTCTGCGCCCATTCTTGGCAGCCCCATGTCTTTCAAACTCCTCCCCGCCACCCATTCGAACCACGGCTGCCCGTCACACTCCGCCAGGAAATTCACCACATCTGCCTGCGACACCAGCGCAGACAGGCTCGGCACCAGGGCGGACCCCGAGCCTGCTGACGAAGCTGCAGCTGCAGGCTCGGGAGACGAGGTGGGAGAGGCTGAGGAAGGGGAGGAGGAGAAGGGAGCGGAGGAGGTGGGAGGGTAGGTGACGATGGGGAGCACTTGGGGGCGGTGGGGCATGGCAAGGAGCAGCATGAGGGAGAGGACCGAGTCGGAGGAGGCGAGGGGCAGGAAGGAGCGCCAACGGAAAGAGCCCACCAGGTCCGACAGCTGTGGGAAGGCGTCGAGAGAGGGAAAGCCGTAGGAAAAAAAAAACAGGGGGGAATGGGTGGTCGAGTCAGAAGGAGCGTCAGCGGAACGAACCCACAAGGTCCGACACCTGTGGGGGAGGCGAAGGGTTGGAGGGAACAGGGGGGTGCGGGAAGGCGCATGAGTCAGAGAACAGAGTTACAGGCTGAGAGGGGCAGGAAGGAGCGCCAGCGGAATGAACCAACAAGGTCCGACACCTGTGAGAGGAGGCAGGACGTTGAAGGGAGAAGGGACAAGCAGAGGGGAAGGTGCAAGAGTAGGTGGTTATGGGAAGCATTTGAGTAAAGACCCCACCAGGTGGATATGGGAAGCATTTGAGTAAAGACCCCACCAGGTGGATATGGGAAGCATTTGAGTAAAGACCCCACCAGGTGGATATGGGAAGCATTTGAGTAAAGACCCCACGAGGTCAGAGACCCGTGAGGGAGGCATGTAAGGGCAGAACGCGAGAGGCGGGGTGGGGGTGCTTCTGAGTCGACTCCGGCACAGGAAGAAAAGCGAATCAACAGGGAAAGGGGGGCGGGGGTGGACGCAGGGGCGTGGAGACCAAGCGGGGATGAGAAAGGGCTCGGAAGGAAAAAGAAGTCTTTACGCCCCACCCCACACTCCACGTCCCCACCCCAATCTTACCTTAGCAGTCTGAAACAAACCCTGCGGCAGACGATCCAGCCCTCCTGCTGACAACCTCACTCGCTCCACCCCTCCCCCATGCCCCTCCATTCCCCACTTCCCCTTCACTTCCTTGCCCCCACCCTCCCCCTTTTACGCTTACCTTAGCAGTCTGAAACATGTTCCCCTGCAACAGCCGATCCAACCCCCCTGCCGACACCCTCAATCGCTCCACCCCTCCTCCCGCCTCCCCCTCCCCTGGCGCCTCTGCTGACGTGGCGCCCAGCAGCCCTCCCGCCATCGATCCTGCCCACATGGCTGCCAGCGTGGCAACATCTGGCGCGCCCAATGCGGCTGCCCCGAGCCCTCCAAACGCCAGCCCTGCCAGCCCCCCCCCTGCTGCCGCTGCCATCTTCACCTCAATGGATGAACGCTCGAGCTGAGGAGGGTGGGAAATAGGGGCGAGGGGTTGTAACGGGCGCGTAATGGGAGGAGGGGCGGGGGTCAAAAAGAAGGCAGTGATCAAAGCAGATCGGCATCAAATGAACCACCAGCCCTCCAAACGCCAGCCCTGCCAGCCCCCCCCTTGCCTGCTGCCATCTTAACCTCAATGGATGAACGGTCGAGCTGAAAAAAGAGGACATAAGGGGCATTGGGGAAGGGAGTGAGGGCGGGGGGTGGAGGGAGGAAGAGGTCAGAAGGAAGGCATTGGTAGATCACCAGTGGTGTTGCTCTGCCCAGCCTTGCCACCGCCAGTCCCGCCAGTCCCACCAGACCCGTCAGTCCCCCGCCTGCTGCTGCTGCCATCGGCACCTCTATGGATGAGCGGATCGACCTGAAAAGGAGGGAGGGCGGAAGGGGAGGGCTCAAAGGAACGCACTGAGCGAAGCCCAGCGAGTGTACTACTGCCCCACACCTGCCTTTCACCTGCCCCAAGACCCCCCTGCCCCATGACCCCCCTGCCCCATGACCCCCCTGGCCCATGACCCCCCTGCCCCATGACCCACAGCACGACCACCACGCCATCCACCATGCCCAGCCCAGGTACCGCAGAGGGGCATCGTCCCCCCCCCCCCCGCCACGTGCCCCTGCTCTAGTACCTACCTACCCCTAGTTGACCTTCCCCTACCCAACCCACGCATCACCTACGTCACGTCTCACCTGCCCCATGACCCACAGCACGATGCCGGCGCCGTCCACCATGCCCAGGTACCGCTGCTGCAAGGGCGCATCGTCCCCCACGCCCACGTCCCTGACTGGCGCTGCTGTGAGGCCCGCATGCTGCAGCATGCGCAGAGCGTCTGACAGACGGGCATCGGAAGGGATCTCGAGCACTGGGGGGAGGAGAGCGGGAGGGGACGGGAGGGGAGGGACGGAAAGGGAGGGGAAGTGGAGGGATTGGCAGGGAAAAGAGAGGAAGGCGAGGTACAGCTCAGGAGGAAGCTGAGAAGCTTATGGTAATGGATGGAAGCATATGGGAGTGGACAGGAGCACATATGGGAGTGGACAGGAGCGTTGAAGAGTGCAAGAAAACTCATAAGAGCGTATAGGAGCGTAGAGGAGCATAGGTATGATGGGTAAGAAGAAAGACAAACCTTTATGCGGGTATGGGAACACGGACACGGGCAGCTGACTGAACGCTCTGAGACGCCTCAAAAGTTGTAGGGTGGCAATTTGGCGAACCTTTATGCGGGCACGGGAACACGGACACGGGCAGCTGACTAAACGCCCAATTCAACGCCTCCAGCTCGCGCCGCTCCTCCTCCTTTCCCTTCTCCTCCGCTCCCTCGCCGCTCTTCTTCCTCTCCACTCCCTCCCGGCCCACGTGTCGCTCCTCCCCACGCCCGACGCGCGACTCCCACATCTCCTCGATGCGCTCCTGCAGCGGCACGGCGTGCGCGGGCCGGTACCCCAGCGGCACCAGGTGCCACTCCTTCGTCGGCGGCGGCGCCCGCGCCGCTGCTACCCCGCTCGCCGTTTTCTGCGCCGCAGCATCCGAGGCGACGCCCCGAGTGGTGGTGAGGCTGCTCGTCGCGCTGATGCGAGTGATCGAAGGCTGCTGCCGCTGCTGCTGTGACGCCGGCGCCAGCGGCGGCGGCGGCGGCGCGTTCACCCGGCCATGAAACGAACGCACGCTGCCGCCGCTGCATGCCGACGGGCTCTCCCAGAGCTCGTTCCAGTGAGAAGTCGCCGCCGCGGCGCGTAGCGTCTGCTGCTTAGGAACCGGCGATGCCGCACCCGCCGTCGCCGCTTCTGCTGAGTTTGCTGACGCTGCGAAGAAACGGGCGACCTGGCGGGCTAGCGACGACGCGAACGCGTGAGAGCAGAGCTTCGTCATGGCGACGGATTTTGCAGAGCCGACTTTTAAGTTGACTCAAAATACGGGTTGTGCAGAGTGTCAGAAACTGTTCGAAGGAGCTAATACAGAAGCCCTGAACTGACACTGTTTGCGAAGACTGACTGACCCGATCCGAGAGCCGAGCGGGACGGGTGGGCCTTATCGAGTAAACGATTTCATGCCAGGAGAAGCTGAGCTGCAGTTCTTTGAGGTGCCTCTCGCATGAGCCTCGTGGTGGTTGGTGATGGACTTTCTCAAGAAGAGAGATTTCATGGCTGGGAGAAAGCTGAGACCAGGGGAGCGGCGAGGAGAGAGTAACAGAAATTTGCGCGAGAAGATGCTGAATCTCGGGAGAATTGTGCGACAACGGGCGCAGACGGGAGCAAGAAGGCCGCTTCGGCCATTCTTGTAACATCAAGATGATGCTTCGTCTGGCGCCTCGACGAAGGGATGGCGTTGAGACGGCCGTGCATGGGGACATGCAGTGGAAGGAGAAAGGCAGGGGGCATGGCGCGAAGGTGGTTGTGAAAGGAAGGGGTCTCCTTGGCATGCGAGCGGTTTCTGACGTGCGCTGAAGCAGAGGAAAGCGCCATAGAGAGTGCGTGCTGTTGTCACGTTAACGGTAACGCTAACGCATCTCAGGATGACTAAACTCATCTCTCCAGCACCATGTGTGTTTACATCGTGGTCGTACGTTTCGAGAGATACCATTTTTGCCTGTAAGAGTGAAAGATGTGCGCCACCCGATGCGCCAGCGATTATATATGAAGGTCCTAAAAGTTGCAAATAGACGCACAAAGCATGCAACTACATAGGTATAGGGAAGGGAGCCCTCCATCAAGTTTCCGTAAGGTTCCTGAAAGGAAACTGCTCCAGACCAGAAACCGATGAGGTGATGATGTGATCAGTAACTGATTAGATGTGTGGGGGTTAGGGGGGATATGTGTTGCATGTTTGATTGCATTTGTGCAATGCAATGTGAAATTTCGTGCATTTGCGAGCCGCTTCGCGCTGCGTCGTGCTCGGGTCCGAGTGAGGTGGCGGAGCTCTAAACGACACGTGGAATTCTCGTTGTTGGGTTCAGCAGGAGATGCTGGTGACGTGGAATCAGCCATGCCCTTTCGTATCAACTTCTGTCACGTGGTCCCACCGCTGCAAATTTACGGGCAGACGAATATGTATTCATAAATATTGTGGTCCCACTTTGGCTGCCGTGCCTTGCCGAAATGAAGCCAACCACCACCACCAGATGGTGCCGCCAACCAACAGCAGAAACCTGCATTGCTTTCTCCGGGACTGGACTTGATTTCGAGCCACATCTTCAATTTTTCGCCGCAGCCGTTCTGCCCGAGAAACGTTGCTTGTTCTGCTCTCCTCCCCCCTCCAACATTCGGCACAATTCATCAATCCCTCCACAATCGATTTCACGCTCGAATTCACTCGCTCTACTTCAGTTTCAACTTCTCTTTTCAAGCTTCACAAAGCCTTTTCTCCTTCCACTCGCACCCAATACGTGACTTGTTTCCGTTGCGCGTCGCCTGGAAATAAATATTTTCGTCAGCAAAACGCCAGAGGAAACGTGAGCATGCCGACCCTCATGCCTAATAGTGTTCGACGGTGGAACCTCGCAACGGCTACTCTGGGCATGGCTTCTGCTGTCGCCGTGGTGTCAATCGGCACTTCCTACGCGATACATGTTAGTAACCAATCATGCTAAAAAAATCATTAGATTCCCTATGCGCAGAGGATTATTGGCCTTGTTTATTTGTCGTGGAGGGCTGGGTTGCTTGCCCCTTGTAGCCTTATTACTGACATCTTTTGCGGATTGGCAGAAATACGATGAGAAGACTCGAAAGAGGTAATCGGCATTTTCTAATCTTGTTTTTTTTTATAGCAAGGATAGCAAGGATCCTTGCTATCCCGCCAGTGTCACAGGATACATGAATATCCCCACCTCTGAAGTGATTTTTGTCAGTGTCTGCTCGTCGTGTTCCTCTCATCTTCCCCGGTCACCTGCTGCGCGGTCGCTCGTCTGTGTGCAGAAGTGGACAGAAGCTTGGCGAAAGAAAGTGAATCCTGGTAACCAGCGCGTGCAGGAAACTTCGTTCATCTACGAGCTAGCTTGAGTGGGGTGCTCTTCGCCTTAGCGTGATGCCTGCTGGTGAGGCAGAGGCTGTCCGTCCGCTGGTCGGTCCATTTGTAAATAGCATGCCTGGTTCTGCCTGGTTCTTATCATGCAGAGCAGCATGTGAGTGTGGTGGATGGATGCCCATCGCTCATTTTTGGTCTAGAGTGATCCGGTGCACTCTGATGCTGTACTGCTTTGGGCGGTTCAGAATTCTTCCTCGTAATATTGGCGGAACAAGTACTGTATAGATGTTGGGAAGTGGTGTTCTGAACATTTTGCCATTGTGATGCGTCATATTGCACAAATATATCAGGATACCATGCTAGGGTAGTGTTAGTGAGGTGCGTGCGCACACACCCAGATCATGACAGCTAGCAGAGTCAGTAATTGAAAGTACAGTGTGCGCTCGTGAATTGAACCCACTGCTTGTGTTGATTATGTTTCAGTGTTGCCGTCATGGGTGCTGCTATGGCATCTTCCGCCCCTCCTACTGCTGCTGTTACCTACTGTTGGTACCGGTAAAACCACCTACGCTCGCCTTATGCAACCACTCTAGGTACGCATATCATAATCAAACCCCAGTAGTACGCCCATCGCCCGTAGAAATGATAACCAGTACTGCGTTCGAAGCACCCTGAGCTTTCACCACAAGCTGCTAGCGTTCCCCTATCAACAGCCAGCCACGCTTCGTGGACGCTTCACTCCTATTACCACCGGGTTCAGGGTTACAGTGCACTCACAAAACCTTTCCTTCCTTCCACTCACATCCTCCTCTCACTCCTCTCCTCTCTTCCCAGATCTCATCTAAGACTGAGGTAGGCGACTCCCCTCCTCTCCACCCCCTTTCTACCCACTCCCCTCCTCCCCCACCTGCTTCAGCATCACCACTATATCCGCCAGGGACGGTCGCTCCTCAGCCTCCTCGCCCATGCACACACACCAGCGCAATCTTGCCTCCAGCACACTCAGCTATGTCCGCTACAAGTGACTTTTGAGTCGACTCAAAAGTCACCTTGCCTCCAGAACACTCAGCTATGTCTGCCACAACTGGATCCAACACGTCCCCTGCCGCCCCCTCCTCCCCATTCCCCTCCTCCCTGCTTCCCCCTCCTCCCTGCTTCCCCCTCCTCCCCTCCTCCTGCGCTGCTCCCCTCTTCTCTGCTGCTCTGCGGGTGGTGGCCCTCCTATCCACTCCCCTCACCCCCCACTCTTTCAAGCATCGACACTATATCAGCCATGGACAGCCGCTCTTCCGCCTCCTCCCCCACACACACCAGCGCAATCTTGAGCACCTCCAGCATCTCGCCCTAACACAATTCTCTCCACCTGCCCATCCTCCTACTCCCTGCCGCTGTGCTGGTAGGGGCCCTACCCACTCCCCTCATCCCCCACTCTCTCCAGCATCGACACTATATCAGCCATGGACGGCCGCTCCTCCGCCTCCTCCCCCACACACACCAGCGCAATCTTTAGCACCTCCAGCATCTCACCCTCGCACTCCGCTATATCCGCCACACGCGGGTCCAACACGTCCCCCGCCGCCCCCTCCTCCACGCACACGTTCACCCACCCTATCACGTCCCCCAGCTCGTTCTCCGCAAACCACGGGTCGAGCGGCGGGCGTCCTGTTAGAAGCTCCAAGAGAACCACGCCGAAGCTGAACACGTCGCCCTCTGGTGTGGCTGTTGTAGGGCCTGACATGTACTCTGGAAAGGGAGGGAGGGGGTAGGGGCAAGAGGCTCTCTGCAAACCACGGTTTTAGCGGCCAGTGGCCAGTTAGCAGCATGACTCCAAAGCTGAACACGTCTCCCTCTGGTGTGGCTGTTGTGGGGCCGGACAGGTACTCTGGGGAAGGAGCAGGTGTGCAGGGATATGGGGGAAGCGGGAGATGGGTGGTGAGGAAAGGGGGAAGGGGGCAGAGGGAGGGGGGCATTGAGAGCTTTGTTGCCTGCTGCCCGCTCCTCCACGCGATTACGTCCCCCAGAGGTAAGACACTCACCAGAAGACGTGTAGTGTGTCCCATATCCCAGCGTCTCACGCACTCACCAGGAGGAGTGTATCCCAGCGTCTCAGAAGCCACGTGCACATCATCAAAGTCAAGCGCGATGCACGCCCCAGCCGTATCCGTCAGCTTCGCCTAGCAGGATGTTCCCCAGGTGCAGCGACCCGTCCACCATATATTCCTCCACTGGACGTCTCTCCCAAGGAGAAAGCACTCACCAGGAGGAGTGTATCCCAGCGCCTCAGGAGCCACGTGCACATCATCCGAGTCAAAGGCAATACGAGCCCCAGCAGTATTCGCCTCCCCATCATCCCCCAGCAGTGTCAGTGAGCTTCACCTCTCCATCATCCCCCAGCAGGATGTTCCCCGGGTGCAGCGACCCGTGCAGCAACGACCCGGGCACCTTACACTCCTCCCCTATACGTCTTTCTCAAGGGAAAAGCACTCACCAGGTGGCGTGTATCCCAACGTTTCTGGAGCCACGTGCACATCATCGGAGTCAAAGGCAACGCGCGCCCCAGCAGTGTCAGTCAGCTTCGCCTCCCCATCATCCCCCAGCAGGATGTTCCCCGGGTGCAGCGACCCGTGCTGCAGCGACCCATACACAAAAGAAGAGTTTTACCCCTGACCAGACACTCACCAGGAGGGGTGTACCCCAGCGTCTCAGGAGCCACGTGCACATCGTCGGAATCAAACGCAACGCGCGCCCCAGCAGTATCAGTCAGCTTCGCCTCCCCATCATCTCCCAGCAGGATGTTCCCCGGGTGCAGCGACCCGTGCACGAGGGGGTCGGGGGCGAGCTGGGACCCAGGCGGGAGAGGGAGAGAGAGCGTGTGCAGATGTGCCACTCCCTGGGCTATTCCGAGAGCCACGCGCCTTCTGGCATCCCATGTGAGGGAGTTTTCGGAGAGCTCCTGTTGTTAAGGGAGAACGGAAGGAGAGAAGAACGGGAGAAAGGAGGGCGGAACGGGAGGATGGAACAGAGAAGGCGGGAAGTGAGGAGGGGTGGAACAATCCGTGCATGAAGGAGTCGGGGACGAGCTGGGAACCAGGCGGGAGAGGGAGAGAGAGCGTGTGCAGATGCGCCACTCCCTGGGCTATTCCGAGAGTTGACTATTGAGTCGACTCAAAAGTCAACTCCCTGGGCTATTCCGAGAGCCACGCGCGTGGCTATCCCAAGAGCCACGCGCCGGGTGGGCGAGGGAGAGAGAGCGTGTGCAGATGCGCCACTCCCTGGGCTATGCCCAAAGCGACTCTTCTCCTGGCGTCCCATGTGAGGGAGTTCTCAAAGAGCTCCTGCCATGAAAGGAGAACGGAGAGCGGAACGGGAGGAGGGAACGGAGAACACGGGGAGTGAGGGGTGAGAGAACACGGTGTGAGGAGTGAGAGAACACGGTGTGAGGGGTGAGAGAACACGATGTGAGGGGTGAGAGAACACGGTGTGAGGGGTGAGAGAACACGGTGTGAGGGGTGAGAGAACACGGTGTGAGGGGTGAGAGAACACGGTGTGAGGGGTGAGAGAACACGGTGTGAGGGGTGAGAGAACATGGTGTGAGGGGTGAGAGAACATGGTGTGAGGGGTGAGAGAACACGGTGTGAGGAGTGAGAGAACACGGTGTGAGGGGTGAGAGAACACGGTGTGAGGGGTGAGAGAACACGGTGTGAGGGGTGAGAGAACACGGTGTGAGGGGTGAGAGAACACGGTGTGAGGGGTGAGAGAACACGGTGTGAGGGGTGAGAGAACACGGTGTGAGGGGTGAGAGAACACGGTGTGAGGGGTGAGAGAACATGGTGTGAGGGGTGAGAGAACATGGTGTGAGGGGTGAGAGAACACGGTGTGAGGAGTGAGAGAACACGGTGTGAGGGGTGAGAGAACACGGTGTGAGGGGTGAGAGAACACGGTGTGAGGGGTGAGAGAACACGGTGTGAGGGGTGAGAGAACATGGTGTGAGGGGTGAGAGAACACGGTGTGAGGGGTGAGAGAACACGGTGTGAGGGGTGAGAGAACACGGTGAGGGGTGAGAGAACACGTGAGGGGTGAGAGAACACGGTGTGAGGGGTGAGAGAACACGGTGTGAGGGGTGAGAGAACACGGTGTGAGGGGTGAGAGAACACGGTGTGAGGGGTGAGAGAACACGGTGTGAGGGGTGAGAGAACACGGTGTGAGGGGTGAGAGAACACGGCGTGAGGGGTGAGAGAACACGGTGTGAGGGGTGAGAGAACACGGTGTGAGGGGTGAGAGAACACGGGGTGAGGGGTGAGAGAACACGGTGTGAGGGGTGAGAGAACACGGTGTGAGGGGTGGAACAATCCATGGACGAAAAAGTCGGTGGCGAGCTGGGAGCCGGGTGGGCGCGGGTGAGTGAGCATGTGCAGAGGGCATGACATGAGCTCGTACCGCAGCACATGCCTGCCTTCATGTCATCACCACACCGCCGCTGATGCCCTGATTACTGCTCATGCTGCTGCTCGGCTTGCTGCATGCCATCACCCAAAACCCGTCTCACCTCGTCATAAAGAAAGTCGTTGAGGTCCCCATTGGGCATGAGCTCGTACAGCAGCACGCGCTTGCCGGTGATCTTGCCCTCCCAGCACCCCAACACATGGCTCCCACGTATCATCCACCTTGCATGCCCGCCCCATCTCACCTCATCATACAAGAAGTCATTCAAGTCTCCATTGGGCATGAGCTCGTACAGCAGCACGCGCCTGCCGGTGATCTCGTCCTCCCAGCACCCCAGCAGCGGCAGCACATTCGGGTGGTCGATCTCCGCCAGCGCGCGCATTTCCTGGTGGGTGATAGGCATGGGGGTATGGATGAAGGAAACAAATCAATGGGATAAGGAGACATTTCACTAGAGGAGATGATGAGCACGTTCGGATGGTCTATCTCCGCCAGCGCGCGCATTTCCTGGTGGGGTGATAAGCATGTGGGGGGCGGATGAAGGAAGGAATTTCTGCAGTTAGGTGATACAACTCGCAACACTGAGGACGTGGGCAAGGGTTAACAGGGGATGTATCAGAAACCAGACGGATGGGCACGAGCATGGGCCCATCCGCCAGCATGTCAGCCACAAACACACATTCACATACACTCACTCACCTCCACGTTCAGATTCATAGGAACAGGAAACTCCTCTCCATCCTCCCTTTGCTCTGTGACAGTCGACAGTAGCTTCGCCACCAACATTGGACCATCCGCCAGCATGTCAGCCACAAACACACATTCACATACACTCACTCACCTCCATGTTCAGATTCATGGGAACAGGAAACTCCTCTCCATCCTCCCTTTGCTCTGTGACAGTCGGCAGTAGCTTCGCCACCAACATTGGACCATCCGCCAGCATGTCAGCCACAAACACACATTCACATACACTCACTCACCTCCATGTTCAGATTCATGGGAACAGGAAACTCCTCTCCATCCTCCCTTTGCTCTGTGACAGTCGGCAGTAGCTTCGCCACCAACATTGGACCATCCGCCAGCATGTCAGCCACAAACACACATTCACATACACTCACTCACCTCCATGTTCAGATTCATGGGAACAGGAAACTCCTCTCCATCCTCCCTTTGCTCTGTGACAGTCGGCAGTAGCTTCGCCACCAACATTGGACCATCCGCCAGCATATCCGCCACATACGCCGTGCTGCCGCTCGGCCCCCCCTTCCCTCTTTCCCTCACCTGCCTTGTGCACTCACCTCCATATTCAGGTTCATAGGTACCGGAAACTCCTCCCCATCCTCCCCTTGCTCCGTGACTGTTGGTAACAACTTGGCCACGAGCATGGGGCCATCCGCCAGCATGTCTGCCACAAACGCCGTGCTCCCGCTCGGCCCCGGCCCCCGCGTGATCATCTTGCTCGCGCCAAACTCGTCCGTGGCAGCTAGTAACGCGGATGCCCGCACCGACCGCCCGTCAAACATGGTTACCAGTGACGAGCTGCCCTCCGCCCCTGCTCCCCCTGCTGCTCCTGCTCCTGCGATGGCAGCTATGGCTATATCCTCGTTAGAGTCATCCTCGCCTGATCCTTCTGTTGATTTTGAGCGCGTGGCGGCTGCTGCTGCAGCGGCGGCGCCTATACCAACTGCCCCTGCAGCTGCTGCTGCTCCTAGCAGTGCTGCTCCCTCTCCTCCTCCTCCTCCTCCTCCTCCTCCTCCTCCTCCTCCTCCTCCTCCTCCTCCTCCTCCTCCTCCTCCTCCTCCTCCTCCTCCTCCTCCTCCTCCTCCTCCTGTTGTTCCTTCTCCTCCCGTTCCTCCTCCTCCCTCTGTACCCTCCATTCCATACTCGTTACTGTATGGCCCGCTATAAGCCCCTGCTCCTGCCCCGCCTGCCGCCCCCGCTGCTGCCGCCGCAGCTGCTGCATCAGCTTCTGCTTTCAGAGCCGCATCCTCGTTAGTAGGCACCCCTTTATACCTATGCTTCGCCCGGGCTGCCATGCCGCACAGATAAGGACAGCCGAATGTGAAGAGCGCTGCAAAGAGCAGAGTTGCTAGTAACGAGGCAGCACATAGCGCCAGCAGCTGCCACCAGGCCAGGTTGTTGTTACCATAGGGGTTGGTGCTTGTAGTGGGCGGAGGAGGTGCGGGGGAAGAGGATACATCTAAGTTTCCAGACGAGTCGAGAGGTGGTGATGGTGGTGGTGGTGGGGAGTTGGAGGGAGGAGTGGGAGGAGGAGAAAGAGGAGTGGGGAGAGGAGAGGGTGCTTGGGAAGGAGTGGGAGTGGGGGAAGTGGGCGGTGGAGCAAGAGGAGGGAGAAGGGGAGCAGGAGCAGGGGCAGGGGAATGGGATGGGGAGGGGGTGGGAGCAGGGGAAGGGGACGAGGTGGGAGCAGGGGAGGGGGAGGAGGCGGGAGCAGGGGAGGGGGAGGAGGCGGGAGCAGGGGAGGGGGAGGAGGAAGGGGCGGGAGCTGGTGTAGACGAGGGGGAAGGGCTTGGGGAGGGGGAGATGGCGGGGGAAGGGCTTGGGGCAGGTGCAGGGGAAGGGGCGAGTGGCGGAAGGGCAAGTGGCGGTTTGGGGGGAGGTCGTGGAGGAGTGGGGGGCTTGCGGGGGGGAGGAGGAGGATGTTTGGGGGGCCGGGGCGGGGGGACGGGTTGGGGGGGAGGCCAAGGGGGGCGGGGGTGGCGGGGGGGCCTTGGGGGGTGAGTGCGCTTGGGCGGGGGGGGAATGGGGGGGCTTGGGGGGGTGATTTCGGGGAAGAAAGGGGAGGTTGGGGAGGAAGGGGGCGGATGGGGAGGAGGAAAGCGGGGATATGGGGGCGGGCGCTTCCGGGGGGGAGAGGGGGGCTTGGGGGGAGGGAAAGGGGGAGCTGGGAGAAGCACGGGCGGGGAGGGGAGAGGCGGACGAGGAGGGGGAAGAAGCGGGGGGGGAGATGGAAGGGGCGGGGGAGGTTGAACGGGGGGAGGGGGTGAGGGCGAGACAGGCGGAGGGGGGAGAATCTGAGGGGGAGCAAATGGGGAGACAAAGGGGGGCGGGGGAGCCCTCGGGGGAGACATGGGCGGACTGGGCAGCCACCAAGGGGGGGAGGGCGGACACTCCCCAATACACAACCCCGGATTGCCTTCAAACGAGGATGGAGGGAACTTCGCCAGAGGCCCTTCTGTGGGCGTCGACCCGAACAAATCATTATTCGAAACGTCAAACTGAACCAGACTCTCCAGCCCATTAAACCGGGGAAGTTCCCCTACCAAATCATTTCCGTTCAGCATCAGCACCTGCAGCTGGCCCAGCGTATTCAGCCTTGACGGAATCGTCCCCCCGATCCGATTCGAGTCCAACCGAAGAGACGTCAAACTCCACATCTGCCCAAACGTCTCGGGAATGCTCCCTTGCAGCCTGTTCCCGCCCAAATCCAGCCGCGAAAGCCGCTGCGCATACCCAAATTCCTTCGGCACCTCCCCTTCGAACCCGTTTCCCCGGACCGAGATGGTCTGGACGATAGGGAGCGAGACTAGGAGCGCTGGCGCGAGGGGACCGGATAGCTGGTTGTAGTCAAGTAAAATGTCCTGCACCTGTCCCAGTGACTGCATTTCGGAAGGGAGGGAGCCGGAGAGGGCGTTTTCTCTCAAGTCTAGCTTGATTAGGGAGTTGAGAGCTGAGATTTCCGGGGGTATTGGCCCCGAGAGGGCGTTCTTGCGCAGGTCTAGAACGGCGACGCGGCGGAGGGCGGAGAGGGTATTCCCCGGGATTTCCCCTGAGAGCTCCGTTTCTGCTAACTCCAGGGTTTGAAGCGAGGAGAGGCGGGAGAGGGCGGAGGGGAAGGAGCCTGGAAAGGAGTTTCCGGGGAGGGAGAGTTGGAGGAGGTCTGAGAGGGAGGCAAGGGACGGGTCTGGGAGGTCGAGGGTGCCGGAGAGAGTGCGGTAGGGGAGGGAGAGGGAGGTGACGCGGCGAGAGAAGGGGTTGCAGTCGACGCCCGTCCAGCTGCATGGGTCGGGGTCGTTGGGGTTCCAGTTGTCAAGCGCACCTGTGTGATTGGGAGGGGTGGGGAAGGGGGAGGGAAAGGGTGGCGTGGGGGAGGTGTTGTGGGAAAGGACCAGGGAAAAAGGTTAGGGAGAAGAATGCGGTTAACGCCCGTCCAGCTGCATGGTTCGGGGTCGTCGGGGTTCCAGTTGGAAAGAGCACCTGGGGATGGGGAGGAGGGGTGTTGGGAGAGCGAGGAAAAAGGACATGGAGAAATGAGAAGGGGTTGCAGTCGACGCCCGTCCAGCTGCATGGTTCGGGGTCGTCGGGGTTCCAGTTGGAAAGAGCACCTGGGGATGGGGAGGAGGGGTGTTGGGAGAGCGAGGAAAAAGGACATGGAGAAATGAGAAGGGGTTGCAGTCGACGCCCGTCCAGCTGCATGGTTCGGGGTCGTCGGGGTTCCAGTTGGAAAGAGCACCTGGGGATGGGGAGGAGGGGTGTTGGGAGAGCGAGGAAAAAGGACATGGAGAAATGAGAAGGGGTTGCAGTCGACGCCCGTCCAGCTGCATGGTTCGGGGTCGTCGGGGTTCCAGTTGGAAAGAGCACCTGGGGATGGGGGAGGGGAGAAAAAGGGGAGGGAATGGGTAAAGTACATGGGCTAGCAACACAGGTAAGGAACACGGGGGAGCATGGGTGAGGATGGCCGAAATGTGCAGTAAAGAAGTACATTCTAAGGGGTATGTTGGAGTATCGCCTTTCTCACCTGTAGGGTCGTCTGTCACGTGGGCTTTAAAGTTCAACAGTGCAGCTTTATCAATATCCGCAGGGCTCTGAGCAGCCGTCCGCTTTATAAGAAACACTTGTATAAACACAAGAAGAAAAAGCTGTAGTCTATGTGATCTATGTAGTCTCCGGAACCAGCTGTTTATTCTCCGCCGCGAACTTGCAGGTTCGGCAGCCATGCCTGCTGGGGAACCAGGTTCGGCAGGGACAGGCTCGGATTGGTCAGGTTTGGCAGTCCCTGGAACCTCAAGTGGGTGTGCTATCTAAGAATACATGTCGCGGACATTCTATGGCTTACGTTTGTGGCTGTGACTATAACGAAGCTTCTGCGTTTTGACCTTGAACTAGCCTTAAAGGTCGTCGCCCTGTCGATGCCTCTTGCTACAGAGTCTTGTCTATGAGTTTCGATAGCGCATTCGCTTCTAGAACCAAGCCTATCAGTATGTCTGTTACTAGTGCTACTGCTATTTCTGTTACTAAATATAACAGACTTGCTTCTCTCGTTTCCGCTGCAGCACGTGATCGGGTGGCTATTCGTTACTATCACAGTCAGCGACGTCGTCATGATCTGCGACAATAAGCAGCGACTGCGACAGAGGTGCGAGCGGTCAAAAGGAGCGACACTTTATAGAAATGGAAACGCGTGATGTCACGGGAATGGTGAACGTAAAGGTGTCTTCTGAGTGGACTCATAAGGAACGCTTGACACTACGGGAATGGAGTTTGGCTTGAAGGCGAAGAGATGCTTGCGGTATCGTATCGCATGAGCTAGTACAAAGCCAATCCCAACGGAAATTGAAACCACGGTTTGCTAGTCACCAAATGACGTGTTGGATGAATATAAGAAGCGCGGTATGGACAAAGCAGGTTCTAGGTGAGGTAATCAGACAATATTAGTGAGTAGGTATCTGGTTGGTTGTAGGCCATTTTGTTTGAGAAAATGCCTGCGGGATGCTATGCCACCAACACCAGAGACGAGGTGGTGTTCCTGCTCCTGGTATCTCACCGTCCCAAAACAGTACTCTTCGTCATTTGTTGTTTCATCAACCAGAAGCCACAACCCAGAATCCACCCAGTACAATGCGGCTGAGTGGCAAGTTCCGTAACTCGGGCACTCTCACGACATTTTTCTTTTCGACGCTTTGTTTCGAATACGCCTTGCAGAAAATGGCCCTTGAAATTGCCGAGACGCAGTAGCGTCGTGTGTACAGCGAACTCAACTCACCCCGCCGAAGCAGACCGCAACCGCGTCAAAGCTGAATGGCTGTGTGGCCAATGACCATTCAATCGGTGCGGTCCTATTTGGCGGGAAGAGCTGGTCACTACCCTTCTACAATAAAGCTCGAGACTGGATTTCAACACCTTCAATAATAATAAATGAAGTAGCATATACTACATTTTGCCAACGCAAATCCTAAAAAACAAAGCACAATTACTTTGTGAGTGGCTGAATCTAGGAAACATACCGTACCCGCACAGCAACACCAGACGACAGGGCACCTGAAAAGCATAATGAGAACAGGTGAAGCACTGCTAATACTAAGGTCTGCGGCTGTGCGGGGCCACAGGTTCATCTAGCGGAGACCTCTATATGAAGGATGAATGCGGTCAGCCCGCGGAAACTCGCAGCTGGGCAGATAGCTGCGCAGAGGGCAAGTCGGAGGGGAGCTGGTGCATGGGATAATTGGGTTGAAACAGAGCCATCCAATCGCTGTTGCTGCTGCTGGGGTTGAGAATGGGATTCATGTACGTCTTACTGTGTTGAAGAATGGTAAGTTTGGTCCATAGTAAGTAGGCTTATGCTCGGGCGGGATTGGCTGGATGGCAGAAGGGATGAACGGATGGATGGGCGGGCTCTTGACGGATGTGCAGTGTGCACGCATCTTTCATGGTGGTCAATGGTGGTACATCGTAGTGCAGAATGGTGCTCACTGCTGCAAGGTGCTGCAAGGTGCTGCATGGTGCTGCATGGTGCCGCAAGGTGCTGCATGGTCAGCTCGCAGCAGCACAGCACACATGGCTGCCTGGTGAAAGGATGGGCGGTGGTGCATGGCACAATATGGAACGGATGGAAGGGAGCTGTGGGTTTGATGCTGGCTGGCAGACTGCAGTTATGAAATCGATGGTTTGATTGCACACACCCACACACGTGAGACGCCTTCTGTCTGAGGCAGCTAAAGAAACATGGGGCGGATGGAAGGGTGTAGCTATGGGTCAGATGCTGGCTGGCAGGCTGGCAGGCTGGCAGTGATAAAATGGATAATCCAATTGCGCACACCAACACATGGTGTTCCCTGCTCCAGCACACAGGCGCAGTGCTATCGCTGCCATTGCTGCTGTTGCTTCTGTCACTGCTATGCATGGTGCTGTGGTGGCAGTGTTTAATTGTGCTAGTGGAGGTGGTGTGGTGTGGCTGCTGCTCTTCACAGATGCTGCTGCTCTTCACAGATGCTGCTGCTCTTCACAGATGCTGCTGAAGATGAATAACTTGAATGAATGATGCCCCGCAGTGAGTGATGAATTTGGTCGCAGTGGTTGACTCAGACTCTATATTTTCAGTCGACTCCAACTCAAAAGTCAGAAGTCATTTTGAGTCGACTGAAAAGTCGTTCTGGAGTGAGTGAGTGATGGAGATGGTTGCAGTCGTTGACTGAAAAATCATCTGTGGTCATGATGGATGGTCACTGTGCCGATGGTTGCTGTGATGGTCGCTGTGCTGATGGTCAATCTCCAGGCGCCTCATCAACACATTGGGGCGGCTGATGCCGTTGGGTGGCGGTGGAATGGCCAGATGGCATCTGAGGCGCCTCAAAAGGAAAACTACGAGGGGCAGTGGCAACAGTGGTGATGATTTCTTGGCCGCTTCAAAGACAAAACGTGGCTGCAGTGGTGTTGGGTGTCGTGGGAGTGGTGATGATGGTGGTTGGTGGCAGGGAGCAGTCGTGATGATTCCTTGAGCAGCTCAGAGATGGAATGTCGCTGGTGGTGTTGGGTACCGTAGAAATTAGAACTGATCACGATGGTTGGCGGCAGGGAGCAGTTGATCAACGGTGGTCATGAAACCCACACAGGGTACGGTACCCCCCTCAGCCAAGTTCCATCCGCCAGCCCAACTACTTGCTCCGAATCGCAACCCGTGCAACCTGCTTCGGAGCCGGCCCCGCCCCCGGCCTCTTAGGCTCGTACCGCCGACCCCAACCACCGAACCACCCCCGAACCAAGGCCACAAGAGGTGGAATAGAGACGGCAATGACCACTGACAGGAGCACATGGGTGATCCGGTTCTGCCTCTGCACTCTATGCACCATTTGCCTCAACTCCTCCACCCCATCCTCCCCTTCCTCCTCCCGTTCCTCCACCTCCAACTGCTCCTGCTCCTCCTCTGGTTTTGTCCTTGGATTTCTATCCACAACCACACCCAGAGCGCCTCTTCTGACCACTGCTTCATGCGTCAAGTCGCCTCCCTTTCTTGCTGCTGCCACCACTCCACCTTCCGCCGTGCCTCTTCCAGTAAACTTCGAGCCCAGAGCTGCTCCATTTAATTCGCCTTCCACTCCTGCTACTCTGTCCCCTCTTCCGCTCAACTGTGGTGATTGCTCCCTTTCGTCTTGATTTTGCCTCCCTGCTTGCTGCTCCTGGAAGAGGGCTTGCTGCTGCTGCTGCTGGCTGTGTTGGGAGGTGGCGCTGCTGCTGCTGGAGCGAGTGAGGGAGGCGGGGTCAGGGGAGGAGGAGGAGGCCACGGGGGAGAGGCGGAAGGAGATGGGCGACGAGGACACGAGGGACGGCGAGCGCTTGTGCTCGTCCATAGGGCAGGAGTTCTGGAGAGGCAGGGGGGGGAGGGAAGAGGGAGAAAGGGTAGAGGGAGGGAGGGGTGAGTTCGAGGCGCCTTACCCATGGGCGAGGAGGAGACGAGGGAGCGCGAGCGCTTGTGCTCGTCCATAGGGCAGGAGCTCTGGAGAGGAAGAGGGAGGGAGGGAGGGAGGGAGGGGGGAGTGGTTGTGATGTGATCGTCCATGGGGCTGGCGCTCTGGTGGGGCAGAGAACATGGCGGGTAGAGCGAGGGAGGGAGGGAGGGAGGGGGCACAACATGGGAGGGTGTTTGGGCACAGTGAAGACGGGCGAGGATGACACGAGGGAGGGCGAGGATGACACGAGGGAGGGCGAGGATGACACGAGGGAGGGCGAGGATGACACGAGGGAGGGCGAGGATGACACGAGGGAGGGCGAGGATGACACGAGGGAGGGCGAGGATGACACGAGGGAGGGCGAGGATGACACGAGGGAGGGCGAGGATGACACGAGGGAGGGCGAGGATGACACGAGGGAGGGCGAGGATGACACGAGGGAGGGCGAGGATGACACGAGGGAGGGCGAGGATGACACGAGGGAGGGCGAGGATGACACGAGGGAGGGCGAGGATGACACGAGGGAGGGCGAGGATGACACGAGGGAGGGCGAGGATGACACGAGGGAGGGCGAGGATGACACGAGGGAGGGCGAGGATGACACGAGGGAGGGCGAGGATGACACGAGGGAGGGCGAGGATGACACGAGGGAGGGCAAGGATGACACGAGGGAGGGCGAGGATGACACGAGGGAGGGCGAGGATGACACGAGGGAGGGCGAGCGAGCGCTTGTGCTCGTTCTGGGGTTCACACATGAACGTTCTGGGGTTCACACATGAACGTTCTGGGGTTCACACATGAACGTTCTGGGGTTCACACATGAACGTTCTGGGGTTCACACATGAACGTTCTGGGGTTCACACATGAACGTTCTGGGGTTCACACATGAACGTTCTGGGGTTCACACATGAACGTTCTGGGGTTCACACATGAACGTTCTGGCGTTCACACATGAACGTTCTGGGGTTCACACATGAACGGTTCTGGGATTCACACATGAACGTTCTGGCGTTCACACATGAACGTTCTGGGGTTCACACATGAACGTTCTGGGGTTCACACATGAACGTTCTGGGGTTCACACATGAACGTTCTGGGGTTCACACATGAACGTTCTGGGGTTCACACATGAACGTTCTGGGGTTCACACATGAACGTTCTGGGGTTCACACATGAACGTTCTGGGGTTCACACATGAACGTTCTGGGGTTCACACATGAACGTTCTGGGGTTCACACATGAACGTTCTGGCGTTCACACATGAACGTTCTGGGGTTCACACATGAACGTTCTGGGGTTCACACATGAACGGTTCTGGGATTCACACATGAACGTTCTGGCGTTCACACATGAACGTTCTGGGGTTCACACATGAACGTTCTGGGGTTCACACATGAACGTTCTGGGGTTCACACATGGCGTTCTGGTGGGGCAGAGAAAATGGGGGGTAGAGGGAGTGAGTACAGCAAATAAGATTGAGTGAGTGAGTGAGTGGGTGAAGGGTAAAGAGGTTGAGGGAAAGAGGAGGAAGAGGTTACTTCATTACTATCACCATATACCATCACCACCAGACCAGACAACATGATCACCGCATACCAGCATGGCGGCCATCTTTGCCTCCAGAAGCTGCACCTGCACTGCTCGCCATGAGAACTAGTGCGTGCACCGATGCATATATCACAGCCACATCCCACCTTGCCTCACCACATTCCACCGCACAGCATCACATACCAGCATGGCGGCCATCTTCGCCTCCAGCAGCTGCACCTGCACTGCTCGTTGCTCTGCCTCCCTCTCTGCCTTCTCTGCCCGCCTCTCTGCTGCCTGTGGGGGAGGGAGGCACAAAGACAGACAAGCAGAGAGGTTGCAGGGGTGGGAAGAGGGAGGGAGGAAGAAGCTTCCTTCCTTCCGCACCTTATCTGCCCGCCTCTCTGATGCCTGGGGCAGGAAAGGAAAACGATGCCTCCTTTGCCTAAGAAACTGGGACAGAAAAAAAAGGAATGAGGCCTCATTGCCTAAGACCCATAAACCTTCAACACCCCTGCACAGCATTACGGAATTGGGACTGTGGTGTGCAAGACCCTGCTGTTCCCACAACCCACGACAGTTGAACTCCATGCCTCCACTCCTCCTATTAGCTGAGGTTGTTTTTGAGACGTCTCAAAAACAACCTCGCTTCACATTGGCTGGGGAGAGTTTTTGAGACGTCTCAAAGACAACCTCGCTTTACTCGATGCCTCCACTCCTCCTATCAGCCGAGTTACATCCTCCTGAGTGAGAGACGCCTGGTCAACACCTCTTGCAGCTCCTCACAGCCCCAGCCACCTGCATACCTCTCCAGCTCTCACCCTCCAGCAACCTGCACAACTCTCACCCTCCCTCCCCCAACGAGGTGACTTTTGAGTCGACTCAAAAGTCGCCTGCTCCACCTCTTGCAGCTCCTCACAGCCCCAGCCACCTGCATACCTCTCCAATGCACAACTCTCCCACCCTTCCTCCCCCAACCCCCAATCCACCCAAACAACGCACCCCCCATCCCAGCCGTGTTACGCCCTCCTGAGGGAGCGACACCCGGCCCAGCTTCAGCAGCTCCTCTCCTCTCCTCACCTCACAGCCTCAGCCCTGCCTGCCCCTCCCTCACAGCCTGTATTGAAATCACTTTTGAGAATTCTCAAAAGCTTCAGCAGCTCCTCACCTCACCTCACCTCACAGCCTCAACCCTGCCGGCACCTCCCCCACAGCCTGTATAACTCTCACCCTCCACCCAACTGCCGCCCCGCTCAGAGCCCCCACAAGCGCACCTCCACGGTCTCCATGAGGCGAGTGACGTCCTCCTGGGTGAGCGACGCCTGCCCCAGCTCCAGTAGCTTCTAGCTAGCCTCATCCCCCATACCTCTCCTCTCCAGACCCCCCTACAGCCCCCCCCAGCGCACCTCCACGGTCTCCATGAGGTGAGTGACGTCCTCCTGAGTGAGCGACGCCTGCCCCAGCTCCAGTAGCTCTTAATATCGCCAACCCCATACCTCTCCCGCCCATCTCACAACCCCTCTCACAGCCTCCACCTCCCCACACACCCTCCAAGCGCACCTCCACGGTCTCCATGAGGCGAGTGACGTCCTCCTGAGTGAGCGACGCCTGGCCCAGCTCCAGAAGCTCCTGCACCACTGACTCGTCACACTCCATCTGATATGGCGAAGGGGGGAACAGGGAGAGGCAGACAAAGGGGAATGGAGCCCTGTTGACGCCTGCCCCAGCTCCAGTAACTCGTCTACCACTGACTCGTCACACTCCATCTGATGTGGCGGAGGGGGGAACAGGGAGAGGCAGACAAAGGGGAATGGAGCTCTGTTGACGCCTGCCCCAGCTCCAGTAGCTCTTGTACCAGTGACTCGTCACACTCCATCTGATGGGCGGAGAGGAAACAGAAAGTGTGCCGGGGAGGGGGAGGAGAAAGGGGAGCAGGGGAATGGCAGGGACGGGACAACAAGGGCGTTACGTTCAAATACCACGGCACAGGCATGGCATGGCATGACGGGCATGGCAGGGCAGGGCATGGCATGGCATGGCATGGCATGGCATGGCATGACGGGCATGGCATGGCATGGCATGGCATGGCATGGCATGGCATGGCATGGAATGGCATGGCATGGCATGGCATGGCATGGCATGACATGACTCACCATGACAGGGGTGGTTGCTCGGCCTGGTGCATCCTCATCACTGTCGTTGCTGTGCCTGCTCAAGCAGCAGCAGCAGCAACAGCAGTGAGGAAAGAAAGACAACAGATCACTTAAGTCGACTCAACATGCCCTCGAGTCAGCTGAAAGATGAGATCATCGTCATCACTCAACTGTTGAACAGTGCACTGCTGAGTTTTGAGGCGCCTCAAAACAATTCTTGAGGCGCCTCAAAAATCGACTCAAGATGCCCTTGAGTCAGCTGAAAGATGAGATCATCTTCATCACTCAACTGTTGAACCGTGCACTGCTGTTTTGAGACGTCTCAAAACACTACTTCAAACACTGCAGTTTCAACTGCGTACCTCCTCGCTGCTCTCTGCGTCCCTGCTCTCTAAACCCGAGCCCCTAAACCCTCAACCCTCCCCAACTCTCTGCTTTTAAAGCTGCCTTTTCCCGCTAGAGACATGCCTGACGCCTCTGACTCCCACCGGCTCTCTTTCTGGGATTCCCTTAAGCTCACCGCTCGCTCACCCCCTTCCCCTTCATGCGTTTCCTCAGTGCATCCCCTCCCCTCACTCCGTCTGGTGCGTCTCTTTCTTCTCTCACTCCTTGCACTGTCGCCTCACGTGCAGTGAGGTGTATTTTGAGGCGCCTCAAAATACACCTCACTGTCCTCTCCTCAGTGCATCCCCTCCCCTCACTCCGTCTGGTGCGTCTCTTTCTTCTCTCACTCCTTCAACTGTCGCTTCACCCCTCAAGAGCCTTGAATCACCGCCTCCCACCCACCTCTCTGCGTCTCTGCTCTTGAAGCTGCCTTCTCTCGCTGGTGACATACCAGACGCCTCTGACTCCCACCGGCTCTCCACTTCCACTGGGGGACCGTGGACGGAGGTCGGGGTAAGAAGGTCAGGGGTAGGGGAGGAGAGGGCGGGTGTGGGGAGTTGACTTTTGCGTCGACTAAAAAATGTCTCTGACTCCCACCGGCTCTCCACTTCCACTGGGGGACCGTGGAGGGAGCTCAGGGTAAGAAGGTCCGGGAGGGGAGGAAGGAAGTGGGGAGAGAGCAGTGAGTGCAGGGATGAGGGCGTTTGTAGAGGGCAGAAGCACACATGCTGTGCACAGCACTATACAATACACCCATTATTTTCTTTCAACAGCGACACAAGCATATCAAACCCAACTGCCCCCTCTGCAGTAGAATACGCACCTGGCCCCTGCAGTCACCTGTCCCCTCCCCTCACTTCCCCCCCCCCCCCACCTCACCTGCACTGCAAACCTCACCTGCCCTCTTTGCTCACCTGCCCCCTTTGCTCACCTGCCCCCTTTGCTCACCTGCGCCCTGCTCCAGGCTGCGGTAGAGCTCAAAGCGCAGCACCTCTCTACACCCTCCCTGCGCAACATGCACCAGACACGTCTGCCCCCTGCGCAACATGCACCAGACACGTCTGCCCCCTGCGCAACATGCACCAGACACGTCTGCCCCCTGCGCAACATGCACCAGACACGTCTGCCCCCTGCGCAACATGCACCAGACACGTCTGCCCCCTGCGCAACATGCACCAGACACGTCTGCCCCCTGCGCAACATGCACCAGACACGTCTGCCCCCTGCGCTAAACACCCCTCACCTGCGCCCTGTCAACCGCACCCCTCACCTGCGCGGCTGCTCCCACCCTCACCTGCGCCCTGCCCCCCCTGCCCTCACCTGCGCCCTGCCCCCCCTGCCCTCACCTGCGCCCTGCTCCAGGCTGCGGTAGAGCTCAAAGCGCAACACCTCGGATTTGGCCAGCTCGTCCCGCAGACGAGCACACTCCACCTGCCACGACACGCACGCACATGGGAGAGAGGGAAAGAGGGGCATTTTGAGTCGTTTAGGAATACAGCTCGTCCCTGCATGGTGTGCACACACACACGCACGAACGCACGCGTGCACACATGCAGGGAGGCAGAGACGGGGCGAGCAAAGGCTCACACAAGTCGTGTTCTGAGTCGACTCAAAACACAACAACCCCCTCACCTGCAGGGCGAGCACGCCAGAGTCATCGAGCTCCTCCAGTCGCTCTTCCAGCAGCGCCTGCACCAACACGGGATTCATCTCCGCTGCCCTCTCGCCCGCCCTCCGCTTCCACTCGTCTGTGCACCCACGGTAGGGAGAGGGGGTGGTGAGGGTGGGAGGGGGGGGGGGGGGGGGGAGAGGGGGGGGTTGAGGGGGGAGGAGAATCTGAGTCATCGAGCTCTTCCAGCAGCGCCTGCACCAACACGGGATTCATCTCCGCTGCCCGCTCCCCTGCCCTCCGCTTCAACTCATCTACGCGCACAGGGGTGGGGGGGAGGAGGGGGGGGGTGGGGGTGGAGGGGTCGAGGGGGGGAAGGAGGAGTCATCGAGCTCCTCCAGTCCCTCCTCCAGCGCGCCGGGTTCATTTCCGCTGCCCGCTCCCCCGCCCTCCGCTTCCACTCCTCTGCGCACCCAGTGAAGGGGGGGGGGGGGGAGAGGATAAGGGGAGATGGGGGAGGAAGAGAGAAGGGCAAGAGAGAGAAGGATTTGAGACGTGTCAAAACTCGACTGCTCCAACGCTGTATTCATCTCCGCTGCCCGCTCGCCCGCGCTCCGCTTCCATTCCATGTCTCTGTTCTGTGCGCCCAAGGGTAGGGTGGGGGAGAGGGGGAGGGAGAGGGGAGGAGGGTAATAGGAGGAAGGATTTAAGACGTCTCAAAACAAGGCTGCGCCAAGGTCTAATGCTCGCTCGCCCGCCCTCCGTTTCCACTCCTCTGCACACACACCAGGGAGGAGAGTGGGGGGAAGGAGGGAAGGAGGGGAGTAGGAAAGGAGTCTAAAACTCGTCAGCACCACGGAGGCAATGGGATGCCCTCGAGTCGACTCAAACCACATCTTAGATGCGCAAGCAGGGCAGGGCATGGCACGGCACGGCAGCCCACTCACCGCAGCGAGAGGCCATGGCTTGCAGCTCCATCTCCAGCGCTGCTGCTTGTGCCCTCGCCTCCTCCACTTGCTTGTCCTGCCAGCCCAACCACATCAATCACATCACAGCAATCACATCAACCACGATATGGACGCTTCAAAAACCATCTCCAGCGCTGCTGCTTGTGCCCTCGCCTCCTCCACCCATCTGCTTGTCCTGCCAGCCCAACCACATCAATCACATCACAGCAGACCGGCGAGGCGAGGCAACGAGACAGATTCGATGCTTGACAAAACTAACAAGGGAACGGAACAGCGAAGAGACAAACGAGCCCTAAAATGTGCAACCGGAAAGGCAATGTAGCAACAGCGTGGTGAATGAAGGGCGCCATGTTTCCCTCGAGGCACCTCACAAAACGAAAGGAGGTGTAAGTCGTTGGATGGCAAGAGGAAGGGCTCACAGCAGGGGTGCCATTCTTGAGCTGCTCCTGTAGTAGCAGGTCCTCTAAGGCGTCCCTCTCCTCGCACACCTGCACGCACGCATGGTCACAAGTATCATGTGGGACAAACAATGTTAGAGGCGAGTCGATTAAAGCAGCTCCTGCAGTAGCAGATCTTTCAAGGCGCCCCTCTCCTCGCACACCTGGACGCATGGTCACGGAGTCACGAAATTCACAAGGGGAGGCACATATGACTGCATGATGGGAATGCACGACGGAAAGGCATGACCGGAATGCATGACGCGAATGCATGAGGGGTATGCATGATGGGAATGCATGATGGGAATGCATGAGGGGAATGCATGAGGGGGCATGAGGGGAATGCATGATGGGAATGCATGAGGGGAATGCATGATGGGAATGCATGATGGGAATGCATGATGGGAATGCATGAGGGGAATGCATGATGGGAATGCATGAGGGGAATGCATGATGGGAATGCATGATGGGAACGCATGAGGGGAATGCACGACGGGGATCAACGCTGGGAATGCACGACGGGAACGCATGCGCGTGAGACCATGCGAACACACAGATGCATCAGCGGGCGGTTACACATCGAATACTGCCTGTGAACCAACAGTCACATCAACGTGAGAAGGTACAGGACGGATATGCGAGCATACGTTGATACAGATACGGATGAGTGCAAAACTACAGTCACCCTGAACCGCGTACAGACTGCATTATCATACATGAGGTTTCAAACATGGAGCTGAACCCTAGAAAAAAGCAACAGAAACGTTGAACGGTAAAGCGACATTAACGAGGACCAATACTTACGAGAATAGCGCGCGGACAGGGCGACGCGGAGACACACCTGTTGGTAGCTCGCTCGAAGCTCCTCTAGCTCTCTTCCCATGTCCGATAAGCTGTTGGCCGTTGGACCCTGGTGGCAGCGAAGAGGTACGCGAAAGTGGGTAACGAGACGTATATCGTCTACGTGTGCGTGATCGGGGGATCGGAAATAGTAAGACTCGCGAGAAAGGAGGATCGCTTTGGAATGCGTTTTGAGACGTCTCAGAAGCAGGTGTGCGGTATAGGACAACGGATGGGATAGCTCGACAAAGAGATGAAAGAGCTGTTCAAAGTGCCGACATACAAGAAACGACCGCTCCGAGATTTCGTTACAAACCGGGGAGGCCTACGCTGCAGCGCAAGACATGCACTACAAACGCATCGCGGCTCTGACATCACAAAAAAACTGGAAAGAAAGGTGTCAACGGACACATCAAAGGAGGCGTATCAGCGGACGCATCGGAGATGCATATACACGGAGGGCTGTAAGAGAATAAGGACTAGCCTGTGGGACGTAGTACGAAGCCATGGTTGCCGCCATCATCTGAGTGTTGCTCTCATGAAAGCAGGAAAGAAAGGTAACCTCTAGACCAGAAGAACCCAGGGGAGGACGTGGATGTGAGTATGCTTTGGGGTATGTGATAAATGTGAGCCAGACGAAGCAGGAAGAGCCGTTGAGTGCACTGAATGCATGTGTGGATTGGAGTGGATATGACTTTCTGCGCTTTGCCGAACCAGGTGGGTTTGGTCCATGGCGGAAGGGCTTACGGCTGCCGAACCTGATTTGTGATGCGAACCTGCGGTTCATCAACACCCCAGTTGGTCTGGTGAGGTACTGCCACATGGAGGATCCGCCAGCCGTGATGGGGGAACGAGGCGAAATCTGGCGAAGGAATTTGGCGATTCCACCGACCTGGACACAGTCACAAGGAACTGCGCCACATCTCCTGCCTTTTGGTTGTGGTCAGCCTGTGGCGTTGTGTCTTCGTTGGTTCGTTGGTTGGTTGGTTCGTCGAGTTTGCTCCCGTTCGGAAATGTCTTGTTTTGTCTGGTCACGTCGAAATTGACGCTCTTGCGCAAATAGCGGCTTCGTGTCTTCGGGTTCAGCCTTGTACAGTACCCTTCTCGTCGTCACCACTCTGGTCCGGAACTTCGGAATTACGGCGTACGGTCAGGAGGGCCCGCCCGTTACACTCACGCGTCGTATCGTAGAAGCAACTCTGGGTGCTGAAAGCGCCTGTGTTAACGGCGGACATCCCTCGAACAAAACCCCATTTTCTCCGACCCCTCTAAAAGGTCATCGAAACGACGCACCTTGAAGCTACACGCTGAGTAGTTGTGTCAATAAAGCATCACAGGTTAGCATAAAACAAATCAAGCCGCTCCATTTAGGTCGTCTGAGAGATACAGCAGGTAAGAATACTCCTGGTCCATTGTTGGACTTCACCAGTCTCGCCTCACCTCTGCAACATTTCCTTTGAGGCAGCGTGTAAGGAATTTTCTCGGCATTCCTTACGGGGCCGACTACATCGCGTACAGCAACAGCCGATTGTTCGCCCGTTACTGCTAACGGAACTTCGCCGACTTCGCGCGCACTGTTTTGCCAAACCTCGCACTGCTGGCATGGCCGTATCGGCCTACGCTTCGGGACTAGCCCGAGCCTCGCTCCAGCGTAGCACTAGCAAGCTCGCACGCACCGCATAACCGTTTTGCATGTTTCGCGTATAAATGTTCGCTCATGCCTTCGCTCACATTTGGTACTCGTTTGACACCTTAGTGCAATTCTCGCTACTTCGATTCATTGCACCCGTAACACTTGGTTATCAGAGCCCCTTTCTTTCGGACCGCGCATCTCCGCACACCAGGAAATCAACTTTTGATTTTTCACTCGAAAGGACTCACGCACCTTAGCCCCTAGGAGCCGCTGTCCTCGCGTTCTCTCGTAAACGCGTGCAGCCACGACTGCGCCTAGACTAAGACGAGCCGACGCCCTTCGTCATGGCTGAAAATATCGACGTCACCACCCTCACGCAGGAGCGTTTGAACGATCTGCTGCGACAGCTGCACGAAAGCTCCGAGGAAATCGCGGCATTAACGGCAGAACGCTCATCGCTGCAAAATGACCTCATGAGGGCACAACAAGCACAATCTCAAGCACCTGGCACTCCGATTCAACCTGCACCCTCAACATCACAACACGGGAGTGTGGGGCAACCCGCGAGCGCGGCCAGCGATGGCGTCGTCCGCCCCGACGGAGACGACGACCACGGCACGACACACCCCATAGCGACGCATGCGGCCCCAAGTCAGCCTCGCGTCACGATTTCGGCACCAACCCACGACTCGGGACTGCCGTCACCGATGCCGCTGAAGCCGCAGCGCCCGCCATGCTTTGACCCGAGTCAACGGGGTGGTCCTACCGTTCAGGCGTGGTTGTTCACAATGAATGTCTTCTTCGACGCCAACTACGTCTCGGAGGACTCGGCGAAGATTCGATACGCCGTGTCGCTGCTACGAGGACCCGCCATGGACTGGTGGCGCGTCATCGTCACGAAGCCGACAGACTACGCGACACTACCGACACGGGAAGGACAAACCGGACCCTGGGCGCCGTCGTATTTCGTGGAGGTGCCCCAGTATCGCACGTGGGACGCGTGGTGCGCAGGTTTGCGCGCTCGATTTGAGCCAATTGCGGCTTCGATCGCGGCGCGACAGAAGCTCCGCACTTGGCGCCAACTCGGTTCCGTCCAGGACTACACGAGCGGATTTCTGGCGCTATGCGAACAGGTGGGCTACATGCATGAGAGCGAGCGCATCGACCGCTACATCGGCGGCCTGAAGCAGGACATCGCTCAGGAAATCCAGCTTCGCGGCGTCACCGAATTTCAGGAAATTCTCACTATGGCGGAGAAGCTCGACTTCTTTCGCCGACCGAGACCGGGGTCCTACGGAAACAACAACTGGGGACATCGGCCTCGTGGGACGAACGAAAGCGCCACGATACGCGCCGTCGCCGCAAATGCCGCTGCCGCACCGTTCAAAGGGCGCTGCTTTGCGTGCAATCGGCCGGGACATCGCAAGAGCGAATGCCCGGAAAACGCTAAGGGAAAGGGGGAAGCTGAGCAGCAGACACAGACCAAGCAGCAGGGAAACGCTGGAAGTCAGTAGCAGACGGGCCCCCTACTGACAGGTCACGCCGCTCGCCCGACCCAACCGACCCTCACCGAGTGATTGTGCCGGTTCACGCAATCGACCACACCCGGCCGAATAAGGAGGGTACCACGGTAGACAGCCCTATACTGCTCAGTGGGAAAATTGGGACGGACTTAGTTAAAATCTTCGTAGATGGGGGAGCCAGCCACAGCCTCATTAACACTGCTACGGCACGAAAACTGCGACTGCCACTGGACAGATGCTTACCTGAGATCGACGCACGACTGGTAGACGGCACGCCACTGGCAATACGGGAACGCGTAGACTGAGTTCGGATTCGATGCGGGGGTAACTTCACGTTTAGCCAGGAAATGCTCGCAACGACCCTCGACGGAACCGACATTTTACTCGGGCGTGATTGGCTGCGACGACACAATCCGCGAATTGACTGGACGACGGGTGACTGCACCGTGCGAGTGAACGGTAACAACATCGCCTTACCTCGCTGGGGCTCGCCTGGGTCTTCGTCGGTGCGTGTCAATGCGATCACGATGAAACGCGCTGTAGCGGCCGGAGCTGACGTGTACGCGGTTGACATTCGGGAAGCCGAGGCAGCAGACAAGGGAGGGGATTTACAGAAACTGCTGACCGACGTACCGAGTGATCTGGCAGCACTGTTAACACGATACAGTGACATTTTCCCGGATGACTTACCGACGGGACTGCCACCTCAGCGACCGCACGATCACAGGATAGAACTGGAACCGGGGGCACACCCAACAGTACAGCGACAGTTCAGACTGACCCAACCCGAACTAGACGAACTAAGGAAGCAGCTCGATTACCTGCTCGAGAAAGAATTCATTCGCCCTAGCTCGTCGCCCTTCGCCGCACCAATACTGTTCACACCGAAAAAGGACGGGGGTTTTCGCATGTGCATCGACTACAGAGCACTGAACAGGGTTACCATCAAATCCCGTTACCCCATCCCACGAGCCGACGAACTGATCGACCAACTGCGCACAGCCCGGGTTTTCTCGAAAATTGACCTCCGGGGAGGCTACCACCAAATCCGCGTCAACCCACCCGACTGCCCTAAAACCGCATTCCGAACACGCTACGGATCCTTCGAATACACCGTCATGCCATTCGGACTGACCAACGCCCCCGCCACTTTCCAAATGACCATGAACGAAGCATTCCGCCCACTTTTAGATAAGTGCGTCATCGTTTATCTGGACGACATACTGATTTACAGCCCTGACAGAGCACAGCACTTACAAGACATCGAAGCAGTTTTAAAAATCCTGAGTGAGAACCGCCTACTGACCAAAGCATCTAAGTGTGAGTTTTTACAGGACCGCCTGGAGTTTTTGGGACATGTTATTTCAGCTGCAGGAGTGGAAATAGACCCGAAGAAAATTGCGACGATTCAGGCTTGGCACGCGCCGACCAACTTGACCGAGTTGCAGAGTTTCCTGGGGTTCGTCAACTACGTGCGCCGGTTCGTCCCCGACATGGCGAAGCTGACTGCCCCGTTGACCGACCTGCTGAGGAAGGGGGTTGAGTACACGTGGGGGGAGAAAGAACAAGCTGCCTTCTCGGCTCTCAAAAACATTTTGTGCTCACCGCCCGTGCTTCACATCGCAGATCCACACCGTCCGTTTGAGCTCGTCACTGACGCAAGTGACATCGCTGTGGGAGCAGTACTGTTGCAGGACTTCGGGAATGGCCTCCAGCCAATCGCGTACGAGTCCCGCAAGCTACACCCGCCCGAACGCAACTACCCGATACACGACCGTGAAATGCTGGCGATCGTGCACGCGTTCAAAGTTTGGCGGTGTTACCTGACTGGCGCCGACGTGACAGTACGGACAGACCACCGTTCACTACAGTACCTTCGCGCCCAACCGAATCTCAACCCACGACAGATTCGCTGGTTGGACTATCTTGAGTCCAATTTTCACTACACCGTCACGTACAAAAAAGGAGCATCCAACATCGCCGACGCTCTCACCCGCCCCACCGCCCAACTCCACGCCATCCTACTCGCCCAGACCAACCCACTTTTAACTGGCCTATTCACCCACGGATACCGCACCGACCCATTTTTCACGACCGGAAATTCACAGCAACTGGCAGAAGCAAAAGGGGTCTATTACGTAAAGACAGGCACCAACCGCATTTGGGTACCCGCGTACTCACTACTGAGGGAGCTGCTGCTGCAGGAGGCACACGACGGGATTACCTCGGGACATTTCGGGGTAGAAAAAACACGACAGCAACTGCAGCGGTACTATTACTGGCCGGAGCTGTTGATCGACGTACAGCAGCACGTGGGCTCGTGCCCGACGTGTCAGGTGATAAAGAGTTCAAGGAAGCGGAAGGCGGGTCAATTGCAGCCGATCCCACCGCCCGAACGCGCCTGGCAGCAAGTAACCATGGACTTCGTCACAGGGTTACCTTCGAACCCTGGGGGTAACGACGCGGTGATGGTCGTCGTGGATAGGCTGACGAAGATGGCACACTTCGCTGCGTGCAAAAAGTCGATCTCAGCCGAGGAGACCGCTCGCCTGTTCATCGCAGCCGTTGTTCGCCTGCACGGGATACCAGCAGCAATTATCAGCGACAGGGACACGAAGTTTACCAGCAACTTCTGGAAGAACCTCTGGGAGCAGTTCGGGACCAGGCTACAGTTCAGTTCGTCGTACCACCCCGAGACCGACGGCCAAATGGAGCGGACGAATCAGACGATGGAGCAGTTGATTCGTGCCACGTGCGACGACCCCACGACCTGGGAGCAGCAACTGCCGCTGATCGAGTTCGCGTACAACAACGCCACATCAGCCACGACGCAGCAGTCCCCGTTCTACCTGAATTATGGGCAAAACCCCACAGTGCCCATGACGCCGAGTCCAGACAACCCAACGCCACGTGCACAACAATTCGCCGAAGTCCTGCAAGCTGCCCGCGCCAGAGCCGCCGAAGCAATAAAAAAGGCCAACGTCATCGCTAAGCGCAACGCTGATCGCCACCGCCGCCCTGTCACGTACCAATCTGGAGATTACGTGCTGCTCGACACGCAAAATCTGCGACTGCCCGACGTACCGAAATTACGACCGCGCTACTGTGGACCATTCCAAATCAGTCACATGATCACACCCGTCACCGCACACCTCCTGTTGCCAACCGACTGGTACATCAGCCCTTCGTTCCACGTCAGCCTACTTCGCCCATACGTCCCGACCACAAGTCAACTGCCGCGTCACCGCCCACAATCAATGACTCGCCCTGCATCGGAGCCGATCATCGAGCCCGAAAAAATCCTAAGCCATCGGATCCGCCACCCCACGGGAATCAGGAGGATTGAATTCCTCGTTCGCTGGAAGGACCGCACGCCAACTGAAGACAGCTGGGTGCCCCTGCCCAACATCGAAAACCACTCTGCCCTGCAAGTGTACCTGAGGAGCCGGGGATTCCGCGATATACACGCACTCGCGTAGCGGAGGGGGCTTCTTAAGGGGGGGGGGGGTAGTGTAAGGAATTTTCTCGGCATTCCTTACGGGGCCGACTACATCGCGTACAGCAACAGCCGATTGTTCGCCCGTTACTGCTAACGGAACTTCGCCGACTTCGCGCGCACTGTTTTGCCAAACCTCGCACTGCTGGCATGGCCGTATCGGCCTACGCTTCGGGACTAGCCCGAGCCTCGCTCCAGCGTAGCACTAGCAAGCTCGCACGCACCGCGTTACCGTTTTGCATGTTTCGCGTATAAATGTTCGCTCATGCCTTCGCTCACATTTGGTACTCGTTTGACACCTTAGTGCAATTCTCGCTACTTCGATTCATTGCACCCGTAACACAGCGCAAAAACTGATTTTGCATTACCATTTTGATTTTTTTTTTACCATTTCATATTTTTGTAACAAACTTGCGAATCATTTCCATGATCTCCGTTCGTGCAGTTTGGAATGCAGGAGCTGATGTGACAGCACTGAGTCAAGAAGTGCACTCCCCCCACGCCTCCACATCTTCTCGCACCAATCAGAGACCTCCACCTGGGCATTTCAAGGACCAATGGAACAAGGCGTTTGTTCTAGTAAACTGAAAACATAGAACATTAACACCGTTCCAAAAATAAGGATTCAGGAGAAACGACCATGAAACATGTGCACGTTCTTGGCGCAAAAGCACCGAGGAAAAAACACCACACAAAAGATGATAGGCAATTTACCTCAAGAAATGGCTTGTTGGAGAGGAATTGGCCATCCACTGTGTACTCTCGATCGCCCAGGTCCACCACGAGAGCAAGAGGCAAAGAGTCCACACACGACGACAGCTCCACATCCAGTGCTGCTGCCCCTGCTACGTCTTCTTTGCCTGCCCCTGCTGGCCCTGTCAGGCCTCCTTTGGCTGCCCCTGCAGCATCCCCCTCTCCTCCTGCCCCTGCGCCTGCTGTGGGTGGTTTCTTGCTCATGCTGGAAATAGCTGCAGAGGAGGAAGAAGCAAGAGAGAGGGGCACGGGATGGATGCGTGGTGTGAAAAGATGGGATGAGTGGCACCGTTTTTGAGGTGAGCAGGACAGGAGGGTAGTCATCCAGTTTTGTAATGCCACATTCTCACGCTTTTCCTCCAAAACTTAGAAGACGTGTGGGACAAAAATTTGAAGACGTGTGGGACAATATGGGCACTTTGGTTTGGGAGACATCGGCCAGAGAAAACGAGCATTGGACACCACCCAGGCACGCACCTGTGATTCGTCCCATGCAGTACCCTGTGCCGCCCATGTGCTCGCCCTTCCTGCCCAGCCTCTCACCCACAGCTGTCGACACTCTCTTTCTTTCTCCACCCTGAGTCACCAACCAGCTCTCCCTACACTCAACGCGCACCTGTGATTCGTCCCATGCAGTACCCTGTGCCGCCCATGTGCTCGCCCTTCCTGCCCAGCCGCAGCCGCAGGAAGCACCCCGTTGCTTGCGCTGACAGCTCGCCCTGCGCCTGCCACCTGCCACGGGGAAATGGTAGACAGCAGAGAGAAGGAATGGGAAGGGTGAATTAGGGTGGCAAGAAATGGGAGGGACCTGAGAAGGAGCATGAAGTGGGAGTAAGAAGCGCCCGGTTGCCTGTGCTGACAGCTCGCCCTGTGCTTGCCACCTGCCACGGGGAAATGGTAGGCAGCAGAGAGTAATAGCACACAGTGAACAGGGTGACAGTGGGATGGGTTAAAAAAAAGGAACATGTGAAGGAAGCAGGGAGCACCCCGTTGCCTGCGCTGACAGCCCGCCTTGCACCTACCACCTGCCTCAGGGAAATGGTAGGCACCAGATAGTAATCGCACACTGTGAATCAGGGTGGAAAGGAATGGGCAGGGTCTGAAAGGGAGCATGTGAGGGAAACAGGAAGCATGCAGGGCGGCAACAGCGCAGGCAGGGCCTGCGCTGACAGCTCGCCATGTGCCTGCCACCTGGCACATGGCGACACGGGATGACATGAAAAACAGGGGGCAATGGGCCGAGTCTAAGAAGGAGCATGTAGAGGTTACAGGAAGCACCCCACTGCCTGGATTCCCTTGCCACCCTGCCACATGCCCTCTGCCCCCTTGCCACCCTGCCCCCTGCCCCCTGGGAGCTTTGCTCATGCCTTGCCTGCCTCCAATAGCACACCAGGGAGCTTTGCTCCTTCTCTTTTCCCCACAACTGCAACCCACTCATCTTCCCCACCCACCACACACGCACCTCTGAAAGTCTCTCCTGGACAGGCGAGCCCCTTCCACTGCCTCCAATAGCACACCAGGCAGCCTCGCTTCTCCTCTTTCTCCCACACCTGCTCCTCCTTCCTTCCCCACTTCCTCTCCCTCCACTTGTCGCCCTTCTCCTCCATTCCCCTGCCGACCCTCCCCACCCCACATCTCCCAATCCCATGCCCCCCCACTTGGGCCCCTCTGCTGCCGAGCCTGCTGCTGCGCTTCGTGCGTCCGAGCCGGCTGCCTGGCTGTGAGCAGCCACGCCCAGTCATACACCGAATCTGGTGCCGGACCTGGCACTGGGGCTGCCGAACCTGACGCCAAAGCAAGGGGTCCACAGGGATGGTAGCCTTGCTCTGGCTGTTGTGTGGCCCCCCCTGTGAGGCCCAGAGCATGAGGGGGAGGAGAATAAGGAGGGCGAGGGGTGAGAGGGGGAGGAGCATGAGGGGTAGGAGGGGTGAGAGGGGAGAAAGTGGGAGGTTTGGAGGAGTCAGGTCTTTCGGGTACCTGATGGTTCACTGGTGCCTTCTCAACATGCATGCCTGCTGCTGCAACTGCTTCTGCTGCTCCGGCTGCTGCTGCTGCTGCTTCTGCTGTTGCTACTGCTGCTGCGTCTGCCCCTGCTGTGGCTGCTGCTGCCGCTTCAGCTGCTGCTGCTGCCATATGTGCATAGCCTGCAGTGGCGGCAGCACCACCTGCAGCACCATCTACAGCAGCAGTGCCAGCAACAGCAGTGTCATTTATAGCGTGACAGGAGGGCCGGGTAGGAAGCAGAGGCAGGACAGCAGCGTGAGAAAGAGCGAAGGGAGAGCATGCATTCACAGCAAGCTCCTCTGGAGCAGCAGGGATAGGAGCAGCAGGAGTCAGGTCAGGCAGAGCAGCAAGGGGAGGGAGGGGCTCAGGAAGGACTGGAGGAGCAGGGAGAGCAGGAGCAGTGGGGCCGGCAGGGGCAGTGGGGCCGGCAGGGGCAGTGGGACCGGCAGGGGCAGTGGGGCCGGCAGGGGCAGTGGGGCAGGCAGGGGCAGTGGGACCGGCAGGGGCAGTGGGGCCGGCAGGAAGCTTGGGGTTGGTAAGGGGAGTGGGAGCGACAGCAGGGGAGGGGGCGACAGGGGTAGTGAGGGCGACAGCTATCTCAGGCCCGATGGAAAACAGGCTCCGCTCCTCCTTCAGCACTGCGCAGTCCGCCGCCCAGTGGCTGCCGCCCACCCCGCACCAAAGACAAAAGTACAGCTCCTCTTTTGTCCATCCCATCCTCCTCACCCGCTTCACCTCCCTCACCATCCTCGCCACCCCCACCATCCCCTCGCTGCCCACACTCTTGCAGTCCTTGTCTCCCCCACCACCCCTCTCACTCCCTTTACCGTCCTCGTCTCCCCCACCACCCCTCTCACTCCCTTTACCCTTCTCTTTGCACTCTCTCCTCTTCCCCTCCTCCAGCCCTGCTCCCTCCTCCCCTCCTCGCATCTCCTCCTTCCCACTCCCCTCTTCGCCCCCTCCTTCTTCCATCCCTCTTCCCTCCCTCCCTCCTTCCCCTTCCCCTTCCCCATTACTCCGACATCCTCCCACCAAAACTCCTCCCAACACCTCTCCACCGCTCTCAACCCAGTCACACAGCCGTGCAACCAGCACAAGCACCTCTCCATCGCGGGTTTCAGAGCACCTCAGTACAGTGTGCCCCACCGCCCCACAGAACATGCACTGTGGAGAGTCAATCCCAGTCCCAATGCCAATCCCAACGCCATTCCCAACTTTGACCTCCAACTCCTCCTGGTGTTCAGTTCTCAAACTTCTCCTGGTAGGATTAACCAAGTCCCGCGACTCTCCCTGCTCCTCCTTTCCTTCTCGCTTGAGAATTCCCCCTTCCTCCTGCTGTCTGCTTTCCTCCCTCCTCTCGCCTTCCATTTCCTCCATCTCCTCGCCCTCCTCCTCCATCTCCTCTACCTCCTCCTCCTTCTCCTCCTCCCCCGCATCCTCCTTCTCCTCCTCCACCTCCCCCTCTACCCATCCAGACAAACCCAGGTCGCGCTCTTGCTGTCCAATCAGCTCATGCCACGTAGCAGCATCCTGAAGCCACGATCTGATAGCTGCCACGTTGGCAGAGTGGTGCGACCAGCTGAGAGACTGGGGCCCAGGAGAGGGAGGGAGAGACGGTGGGTAGAGGGGGCTATTGAGGAGGAGGTGGGGAGGTGGGGAGAAGTCAGTGCGGAAATGAGGTGGCTGATTTGCCTCAGCTGAGGGAGGCGGAGGTGGGGAGGGAGAGGGAGGAAGCTGTAGGTTTGGACGTTGAGGGCTGAAGGGAGCAGCAGGAGCAGCAGCAGGAGCAGCAGGAGCAGCAGGAGCAGCAGCAGCAGCAGCAGCGGAATCAGAAGCCAGAGCAGGAGCATGAGCAGCAGCTGCACCACCAGGATCCCCATCACCGAGAGAAGCAGCAGCTGCTACATCATCATCATCATCAGCAGCAGTAGCAGCAACAGCAACAGCAGCTAAATCAGCAGCACAGCCAGAAGCATCACCAGAAGCATCATCAGCAGCAGCTGGCAGCATATCAACATCATCCACAGAACCCGCCTCAATGGAGTGTGAGGGCCTGGCGCCCTCCTGCTCCTCGTCCAGCACTGCCCTCCGCGCCACTGCTCTCGCTATCAGACACGCCCTCTCCACCAACCCTCCCTGCTCGCCCTCTCCCTCTCCACATTGCTCCCCACCGCAGCCGCCACCAGCAGCATCAGCACCAGTACCAGCACCGGTACCAGCTCCAGCACCATCGCCAGCGCCAGCAGCATCACCACCACCAGCGCCAACAGCAGCATCAGCAGCACCACCACCAGCACCACCAGCAGCAGCACCAGCAGCAGCACCACCACCACCACCAGCACATCTCCTCTGCCGTTTGCCTCTGCGTTTCCTGCTCCACACCTCGCCAGGCACCGCCCTCTTCTGTGCAGAGGCACCAGCACACCTGCTGGCTGCAAACATCGAGTCTGACGCAGCCGCTCCCGCTCCCACTCCTGCTGCTGCTCCCGCTCCCGCACCCGCTCCCACTGGTGCTGCTGGTGGTGCACGAACGCACGATCCTGCTGCCTCCACTGCTCTCCGCCTCGACGGTTGGCGCCTGCCTGTGAGGAACGGAGAGAACCGAGGAATGCTTGCTACCAAGTGTTTTGCTGCTTCTGCTGCTTCTGCTGCACCCACTTGCTGCTGCTCATCCTGCTGCTGTCTCTCCTGCTGCTGTCTCTCCTCCTGCTGCTGCTGCTGCTCTAGCTGCTGATGACCCATTTCGTTTCGAAGTCCCGCAATATCCCCTCCTCCTGCCTCCCTCGCAACGCGAACCAGTTGCACTCGTCCCTCCATATCCTGCCCGCCCAATCCCAAGCCTGCCACCTGCTGTGGTGCTGCTAGTAGTAACCCCTGCTCCCCTCCCCTCCTCCCAACCCCACCTTCTCCCCTCTCGCCCCCACTTATGTCAAATGCCAAACGAGGCCCGATCAACCGCTCTATCCAGCTCGCCCCGTTTCCCCTCCCCACTGATCCCCTCCCCCCACTTCCCCTTCCCCCCATTCCACTCCCCCCGCTTCCCCTTCCCCCGCTTTCCCTCCTCCCACCTCCACCACTTCTCACTCCCACTGCTTCCTCAGCAGCCCCTTCCCCTTCCCCTTGCCCCGATCCTGCTCCTGCCCTTGCTACTCCAGGGGGAGGCTCTACCCTCAATGCAGCAGGGGGAGGCTCTATCTGTTGATCGTCTGTGCCCTGTTCCGTCACCACGCCCAGGCCGCTGCCACCCAGGCCACTGCCGCCCAGGCCACTGCCGCCCAGACCACTGCCGCCCAGGCCACTGCCGCCCAGACCATTACCGCCCAAGCCGCTGCCGTCACCCAAAACGCCTGAAACACCACCACGAATGCCACCTGACGACCCAGCTGCAACACCGCCTGCGATTCCACCTGAAGCACCACCTGCGATTCCACCTGAAGGCCCGCCCAGAATTCCAAGAAACCCTAAATCAGGGACAGGGCAGCTGTTGCTCCCCACCCCACCGCTGCCACTGTTGGCATGCCTCCGCCCATATCCTCCCACGCCCCCTACCCTCTCCGCACCCCCTTCCCTGCCCAAGACCCCTGGCCCTTCCACAACACCTTGGCCTCTCGCATTGCGTCCTCCCCCCTGCCCACTCACGTTGTTCCCCGCCCCTTGCTCCCTTACAAACCTTCTCCTACGGGAGAACTGCAGAGGACTTTGCCCCAGTCTCGTCCGTGCCTCGCCCCTCCCTCCCCTACCTCCCCTGCTTCCTACCACCACCCCCTGGGCCTGGTTCCCTCCTCTTCCCCCACCCGCCTCTCCCTGCGGACTACTCCCACTTGCCCTCCTCCTCCTCCTCCTCCTTGCCTCAAAGCTCCCTCTGCTGCCGCCTCCAGAGCTCCCCCCGTCCCTCCCCTGCAGCAACCGCAGCACCAGCCTATCCCTCTCCCTCCGCCCCCTAGGCCTATTACCACTAACGCCACTAACGCCCCTAACGTCCCTAACGTTCCTAACTCCCCTAACGTCCCTAGTGTTCCTTACGCCCCTTCCGCCTCTAACGCCTGTAACATCCCTCTGCCTCTCCTCCCTCTCCTCTCCCCCCTGTCTCTCCCTCTCCCCACTCTCCGCTCCCTCCCTCTCCCGCTCCGCCCTCTCCCCGTCCCCCTGCCTCTCTCGTCCCCTCCTCTCCACCCCTTCCGCCAACGCACCGCCTCTGCTCCCCTCCTCCTCCCCTGTTGCGAACTCACTGCTCCCCCCCTCCCCTTCATCCGCTGTGAAACTCCCCTGCGAGGTCCACCCCTCGCCCTCCCCGAGGCTCTCCCTCAGATGCATCAACAGAGACCCTGTGGGCACCTCGCCTTCTCCTTCCCTACCCGCTCTCCCTCCCACTCTTCCTACTGCCCCCGCTCCTCCCACTCCTCCCATTCCCTCTACTCCCCTCACTGCTCCCCCTTGCGTTTGCTGCCAGAACCCTGGCATTCTAAACGCCTGCCCTTGCCGTCCCTCGCCTCCTTGAAGCCCCAACTGCGGCCGCCACAGCCCCTGCTGCCCCAGCTGCCGTTGCTGCCGCTGCTGCCCGTGCTGCTGTGCACCTGGGAGTGCGAGAGGCCCAGGAACGGAGAGCTGGTCTTCTGACTCTGCTGCCGCTGCCACTGCCAGTGCATGCTCGTCTGAACCCCCACTGTCGCCCGCTGGCACCTCTATGGGCTCTGGTCTCGCCCTTGGGCGACGTGTCGTGGTGGGGGTGAGGGCAGTGGCAGGAGGGGGAGCAGTGACAGGAGGAGGAGCAGTGGCAGGGGGGAAAGCAAGAGGCGCAAGATCAGCAGCAAGGACCGCAAGAGAAGCAGCAGCAGCCGCGGGAGCAGCAGCAGCAAGAGGTGAGGTGGCAGAAGCAACGGGTGAGGTGGCAGCAGCAACGGGTGAGGTGGCAGCAGCACCAGGTGAGGTGGCAGCAGTGCCCACGGCTGCTGCAAGATCCGTATTGGGATGGTCAGCAGCAGTCACAGCACGAGTGGTGACAGGAGGGGCAGCATAAGCGGCAGCAAGGACAACAGGAGCAGCAGCAGGACCACCAGCAGCAGCAGCAGCAGCAGCAGCAGCAGCAGCAGCAGCAGCAGATGGCACGGGCTCATACGGATCGTTGACCTTATTCAGCCCTGTAGTCTCATCATTGGGCTCATAGGCGCCAGCCAAAGCAGGCAGAAACGCGTGCTCTGTTGCAGAATGGGTACGTTTCGGTGCCATTACCGCCAATCCTACTTCAGCAGCAGCAGCAGCAGCAGCAGCAGCAGCAGCAGCAGCACCACCACCACCACCACCACCAGCTGCTGCAGCATCAACCACTGGCGTTGCCTTCCATGCTGTTGCGTGGTCTGCGTCAGCAGCAACCTCTCTGGCTATACATTCGCCAGTTACAAGAGCTTGCAGCACAACCTGCTCTGACACGCTACCACCGCACAACTGGGAAGGCGTGTCAGCCGTTTCAGGCCCAGCTACCCTGCCCTCTGAGACCTTGCCTTGAGCTTTTCTCCTAGCCTCCTCTTCTGTTTCTGCTACTGCGAGCTTGAGCCTTTTGGTGCTTCCCTCAGCGACTAATCCCGGGGGGGCACCAGCAGCACCAGAAGCAGCAGCAGCAGCAGCAGCAGCAGCGTGCATGGGCGCTCCACACTCCTCGCGTGTTCGTACCTGGTCTACTGCCCGTGGTTTGCTTTTGCTTACCACCCTTGGTTGGTCCCCTTCCCTTGCTTCACCAACTCTCTGTTGCTGACCCACCGATCTTCCACGGCTTACAGCCCTTACCCACCCCCCAAACGATCCGCCAACTGCTTTCCTCTGCTGCCGCACCGAGCCCGCCTGTGAGCCGCCTGGTCGGCACAGAGAGCGGTTCAGATGGGTGCTGTGTAACAGTTGGACAGCAGGAGACGGGTCGGCAGTTGTAGTGGTCGCGGTAGTGGGCAGGGTGGCAGCAGGGGAGGAAGGGGTTGGAGGAGTAGTGAGAGCAACTGTGGTTTGCAAAAGCGGACCGGATGCAACGAATTTCGGGAGCGAGGTGTCGCGTGTCATCTCGAGCACAAACGCGTCCCACTCGCCTCCTGCCTTCCCCCTCGCACACTCCCCCCACGCACTCTCCCCCCTCGCACTCTCCCCCCTCGCACTCTCCCCCTTCTCACCCTCACCCCTCTTCCCACAACCACCACCCTCCTTTTCCCCACTCCCATTCCCACTCCCCTCCCTTCCCTTCTCCCCACTCCCACTCCCCTCCCTCTCCACAGCACTGCACTTCTCCCTGTAGCCACCCGCCCGGCCTCTACTCCTAGACTCCGTGTCTCCACCTATTATCCCTGTCCCCGTCCCTGGTCGCATTCCTACCCCTTCCTCTCCCCCTGCCCCTGTCCCTGCCCCACCTGCGCCTACCCCCCCACCTGTGCACCCCCGTTCCTCCCCGTCCGCGTCCTCGCCAAACGCCTCCCATCCGCACGACACAGGCACCTCAAACCGCCGCGCCAGTCCCCCAGGCGGAGTTCCCGGGAGAGGGGTTCCAGCAGCCGGAGTCCCCCCAGGCGGAGTCCGCGGGAGGGGGGCACCAACAGGCGGAGTCCCCGCGGGAGGAGTTCCCCCAGGCGGAGTCCCCGCAGGTCTCTTTCTCCGCTCCACACGTGACCCAGGCGATTTTCGACCCTGCAACTCCACCCCCTGCTCCCCCTGCCTCCTCTCCCCAACCTGCCTCCCCTCCGCCCCCTGCCTCCCCTCCCCAGCCTGCCTCCCCTGCTCCCCCTGCTCCCCCTGCTCCTCCAGCTGCCGCTTCCTGTTGCTTTGACTAAAGGCGCAGCCGCTGGATTGTTGTTTTCTTGACTCTAGAACGTAATCACTCGTCTTGCTTGGGTGAATGTTAACCTTTTCTGTGCTTGCGTCTCTACCAACCTCTCTCCTTCCCCCGGCCTCCGCAGTTCCGCCTGCTACTCTTCCACCAGCAGGCCCCGCTCCACTTTCTCCTCCCCAGACGTTCCCCCAAACGCCCGCACGTCCATGCCCATCCCCTTCCGCCAGCGCCCTTCCGCCCATGCCACCACCGCCCCCCCCGCCTTCCATCATGTACGACCGACCATACTCCCCCTCCCCTCGCCCGCCGCTGGCCCACCCGTCGCTCTTCCCCCTGCTGCTCGAGCTCCCGCTTCCCGCTCCCCTGGTTCCGCGCCCGTCCCCCTGCTCCCCTCTCTGGAGCCCCTGCTCACTTGCGGAACCAGGAGCGGTGGCGGAAGGAACGCCTCCGCGCGCAGAGGCGCACAACGACCGAGACCCTGATCTTGACCCCGACTGCGGAATCTTGAACTCGCCCCCTCTCACCCGCAGATCCGCGGAAGTTCTCCCCTCGCTCCGCTGCCCGCGCGAGGTACCCGCACTGCCTAGCGCCCTGCTAACCGGCGTACCAAGGGCCTTGAGAATACTCTGAGGCGGGTAACTTAATTCCCCAACGGCTGCCCGGCTGCAGCTCCTGCTCCGTACCACACTTGGCGGCGGGTTAGTTAAACTCCTGGGAACTGACAGGCTCCGCCTTATCAGGCCTTCCGCTTGCGTCATTTGAGGCGGTTGAGAGGGATGAGAAGGTTCAAAGGGTTGAGTCTCTTGGGTCGGCTTAGCCGGTTGAGTGGTATAAATCGGTCGAGAGGGATGAGAGGGTTGAGTCCGTTGTGTCGGTTCCCAGGCTGAGCGCCGCTTGAGCAACCGCGCCGTCTCCAATCCCTCGCGCTCATCCCCGCCACTACGGTCCCCGAATCTCCCGCCTTCCCCTCTCTCCCGCCCCAGCGACTTAAGGTTCGGTCCATGTGCCTGACTAGGAAACGCGGTGACGGCGGCGGAGGCGGAAGCGGAAGCGGCGGCAGAAGCGGAAGCGACGGCGGGAGCGGAGGCGGAAGCAGAAGCGGAACCTGTAAGAAACGCCGGGCCTTGCCACAAGTCGTAGCGCTCTCTGCCACCAGTCCGCCCACCCCGCCGACGCTGCACGTTCCGCTCGGACTCATCCGCCGCCGCTCCGGTTTTTCGCGCTGACGAAGCCGATATAAGCTGAGGTTGCGCGGGAAATGCGGGTGCTACGGGCACGCTGCCAATCCCCCCAGCCAATTCCGCCATCAGGGCTATCGCCGCCCAGTCTTCCCAGCCCGGGGGAACACCCCCTAGCGCCATCGGCGCTGTCAGCGCAACAGGCGCTGCTGCAGACGTCGCGCCAGCGGGGGCTGCGGGGAAAGCGGGAAGGGGGGGCGTAGAACCCGTGGCGGGAGATGAAAGGGGGAAGAGCGGAAGCAGTCGGGAGGTTGCTGGGCTTCCGCCACTATCCCGCCCGCGGCTTCCGCTGCCCTCACGCCCGCGACTTCCGCTCCCCTCACGCCCGCGACTTCCGCTCCCCTCACGCCCGCGACTTCCGCTCCGCTCAACCAGAGGCGCCCACGCGCTGAGATACGGGTGCGCGGCCTCCTGTCCCCGTTTGCCCGTCGGGAAAGCTGCGTCCCGCGAAGCCTCTGCGCGCGCGTCTGTAGCAGTTTGCTGAAGCGGTTGCGGTTCGATCCCCGTGATTGGTCCCAGCTGAGGTGGGTTACTCCAGAGCATTGTACGGGGCACGGCCATTGGCCCGGACGGCGTCGCCACGTCAGACGACGCCGCGTCAGCTACTGCAGTCGAAATCGTTCTAGCAGTTACAGACCCAACAGCTTCGGATGACCCCAGTCGGTGCCTCGTAGGAAATTCATGCGAGCCTGCAGATCGTCCTAACGACGGTCCCGTTGGAGACGGCGCGAAAACCGGTCCTTGAGAAAACAGCCTCGATCTCAGTCCGTTATTCTCGGCAGGTAATAAAGACTCTGAGCCTGACCGAGGCTCTGATTGCCAGCCTAGGCGATGCTCTGGTAGCGAGCCCGAGCCACGCGTTGAGAGAGGTCCTACACACGGTCCTTTTGAAGATGGTGTGGACATTAGCGGGTCGTGGCTAAACGGTGCTGAAACCGACGGTAGCGGTCCTGAAAATGGCGGCGGTTGAGCGTGTGAGGCCGGGGATACAAGAGACTGGACGAACGGCTGGCCTATCAGGTCAAACGTGAGGTTCTGTGCTACAGGAAAAGCTTTGCTCTTTGGTGCGGCGTCGTGCATTGGAGTCGCCTGGACGGGTCGCTCGGAGGCAGCAGGACACGACGAGTCCATCGCGACCGTTGGTTCGGCGAACGGAGCGTTGAGATGCGGTGGGGTCAGAGGTCTAGGCGAATCGTGTCGGCTATTCCAGCCAGTGTCAGGATTCCAGGTCCAATGAGAATTCTCCATTGTAACTATACGGCTTGTATAAATCCTCTCGACCGGCTTTCTCGGGAGAGTGCCTAATGTGCGCTTCGGGGGGTGTCAGTCTATGGAGCTTATTACACTACTGCTTGTAAAGGCCTCTGGAATGGGACACACTCTGTACTGGCTAGTAATGGTTTCTCAGAACTCATAAGAAAAAACTACTTGCCTCGCGTAGAAGCCTGTGGAATGGGACACACTCGTTTTGCACGACCTCGTACTGGGAGAAATGAGTGAGAGGGAAGCAAAGAGACGCGCGGCTGACGCAACAACTAAGTTACTCCGCTGGTACGCACAGGTCTTTCTTCAATTCTGCCAGTCCAGCAGATCATAAAAGGACAAAATCCATCATTTTCCTTCCGCTCAGCATTTGTTTCTGCTTCTTTATGGCAAATGTAAGAGCAGGACGTGTTTTTTTTATGAATTTATGATGTCTCACCGCAAGTCACGCTCCATCACAGACACTAAGGAAACCGTCGATTGCAATCGTCACGTGGCTCTCGTCTCATCCTGGTAACAACCCCAATGCCAGACGAACCGCGACCCAATGAGAAGGGTGTGGCCGTCGAGTCGCCTTCGCTGGCATAAGGGAACCTCGAGAACAAACCCTTTTTGCCATAGCGGTGGCTGTAGAGCGGATGCCTGGAGTGTGTGTTGTGGCTGGCTGCTGGCAAAAAAGGGAGTTTCCTTTTCACGCGGAGGCGGCACGGTAGAAGCTGAGCAAGAGTGTCCGTCGGTCCTAAAGTGAAAGAGATCTCTTCCAACAGGCCGCATCCATTCACCCGCAAGAGATTTCGCTGGGGGCACTGCTGCCGAATCCTCCTCACGAGGAAACCCTCGTCACGCAATGAGAGCTTGCTGGGAAAACCCAATCCCAATGCTGCCTAATCTTGATTTTTCATGTCCCGCGCAACAGACGCATGTGATGATCCATGTGAATCTCACGTGATGCGCTTGTAAAAACGAATCAGCAGTCGACAGCTCGAACTGTCTGACTTGTGAAAAGCTCCTGGAAGCAAGCCCCTCGATATTTGACCTCGATGATTTTCTGTTGAACTCGTTTGCTTTTCCGAGATACCCAGTTGTAGACAAAAGAAATCCCAGTTGTCGGGAAACCAACTTATGGGTGGACATTTTTTTCTTTACGGAAATAGGGAAATCCTCTGATTGATCGCGAAATCCACAGATAGACAGGAACTTGGTTCTGGATGGGTTGTGTTCCTTTTCCTTTTTGGGCCAATGATCGCTTCAGAAAGTAGGCAATCGCCAGCCTTTTCAGCATTTTGGTGAAGGGACAAGCTCCAACGCGTGGCAGTATCAGAAGCACCTGGCCAATAGATCGGTCTAGAAAATGTGAAACAGCGCTTTGAAAGTTCCGTAACTGTTCATCAAAAGCAGCTGAGCACGGTATAGTGCAATCTAAAGCGGTTCTACCACCTCGTCACTTTCAAACTAAACTCATCAGTACGAACTGAATATTGCAATTTTCTAAAGGGGCTTAGATGCACTGTATATTTTTTAATTTAATTTCTTATTTCTTTTTATCTTTATATGGGTTTATAATTTCACAAACAACTGCCACTGGTGCTAGAATTTTTTGCTATTGTGTTTTCTTGTATGAAACATACTAGACAACACGACAGGCTTCACTCATGGTGAAATCGGAGACAATGTTGGGGAGTACTGTGTATCTGGCTGTGCAGATCATTCGACCCTGAAACATGTGGTTGTGTAAGGAATTTTCTCGGCATTCCTTACGGAGCCGACTACATCGCGTACAGCAACAGCCGATTGTTCGCCCGTTACTGCTAACGGAACTTCGCCGACTTCGCGCGAACTGTTTTACCAAACCTCGTACTGCTGGCATGGCCGTATCGGCCTACGCTTCGGGACTAGCCCGAGCCTCGCTCAACCGTAGCACTAGCAAGCTCGCACGCACCGCGTTACCGTTTTGCATGTTTCGCGTATAAATGTTCGCTCATGCCTTCGCTCACATTTTGTACTCGTTTGACACCTTAGTGCAATTCTCGCTACCTCGATTCATTGCACCCGTAACACTTGGTTATCAGAGCCCCTTTCTTTCGGACCGCGCATCTCCGCACACCAGGAAATCAACTTTTGATTTTTCACTCGAAGGGACTCACGCACCTTAGCCCCTAGGAGCCGCTGTCCTCGCGTTCTCTCATAAACGCGTGCAGCCACGACTGCGCCTAGACTAAGACGAGCCGACGCCCTTCGTCATGGCCGAGAATATCGACGTCACCACTCTCACGCAGGAGCGTTTGAACGATTTGCTGCGACAACTGCACGAAAGCTCCGAGGAAATCGCGGCATTGACGGCAGAACGCTCATCACTGCAAAATGACCTCATGAGAGCACAATCCCAAGCACCTGGCACTCCGATTCAACCTGCACCCTCAACATCACAACACGGGAGTGTGGGGCAACCCGCGAGCGCGGCCAGTGATGGCGTCGTCCGCCCCGACGGAGACGACGACCACGGCACGACACACCCCAGAGCGACGCCTGCGGCCCCAAGTCAGCCTCGCGTCACGATTTCGGCACCAACCCATGATTCGGGACTGCCGTCACCGATGCTGCTGAAGCCGCAGCGCCCGCCATGCTTTGACCCGAGTCAACGGGGTGGTCCTACCGTTCAGGCGTGGTTATTCACAATGAATGTTTTCTTCGACGCCAACTACGTCTCGGAGGACTCGGCGAAGATTCGATACGCCGTGTCGTTGCTGCGAGGACCCGCCATGGACTGGTGGCGCGTCATCGTCACGAAGCCGACCGACTACGCGACACTACCGACACGGGAAGGACAAACCGGACCCTGGGCGCCGCCGTATTTCGTGGAGGTGCCCCAGTATCGCACGTGGGACGCGTGGTGCGCAGGTCTGCGCGCTCGATTTGAGCCAATCGCGGCCTCGATCTCGGCGCGACAGAAGCTCCGCACTTGGCGCCAACTCGGTTCCGTCCAGGATTACACGAGCGGATTTCTGGCGCTATGCGAGCAGGTGGGCTACATGCATGAGAGCGAACGCATCGACCGCTACATCGGCGGCCTGAAGCAGGACATCGCTCAGGAAATCCAGCTTCGCGGCGTCACTGAGTTTCAGGAAATTCTCGCTATGGCGGAGAAGCTCGACTTCTTTCGCCGACCGAGACCGGGGTCCTACGGAAACAACACCTGGGGACATCGGCCTCGTGGGACGAACGAGAGCGCCACGATACGCGCCGTCGCCGCAAATGCCGCTGCCGCACCGTTCAAAGGGCGCTGCTTTGCGTGCAATCGGCCGGGACATCGCAAGAGCGAATGCCCGGAAAACGCTAAGGGAAAGGGGGAAGCTGAGCAGCAGACACAGACCAAGCAGCAGGGAAACGCTGGAAGTCAGTAGCAGACGGGCCCTCTACTGACAGGTCACGCCGCTCGCCCGACCCAACCGACCCTCACCGAGTGATTGTGCCGGTTCACGCAATCGACCACACCCGGCCGAATAAGGAGGGTACCACGGTAGATAGCCCTATACTGCTCAGTGGGAAAATTGGGACGGACTTAGTTAAAATCTTCGTAGACGGGGGAGCCAGCCACAGCCTCATTAACACTGCTACAGCACGCAAACTGCGACTGCCACTGGACCGATGCTTACCTGAGATCGACGCACGACTGGTAGACGGCACGCCGCTGGCAATACAGGAACGCGTAGACCGAGTTCGGATTCGATGCGGGGGTAACTTCACGTTTAGTCAGGAATGTCAGAATGTTATTCTTATATTCTAGCCTGTAGTGGGGTGCTCTATAGCGAGTACAACCCTTCTAGGGTTTGCTATTTGTATCCCCATTTCTGCTAGTTCAATCCTCTTTCTTCTTCTAACTTTTGACATGCTATCAGAGCAGGTCGATCCCCTTGGATCGATCCTCTGGGTGGGCTCACCACCTCGTTGCTTCCGCTGCAACTGCTACTGCTACTCTCTGTGCCGCACGCCCCGTGGCGTGCGGCATTTTTTCTTCCCGCCCTGCGCCCCGAGGTGCACGGCGGTTTTCTGCCCGCCGTGCGCCCCGAGGCGCGCGGCGGTTTTCTGCCCACCGCGCGCTCGGGGCGTGCGGCGGTTTTCTGCCCACCGTGCGCCTCGAGGCGCGCGACGGTTACCTGCTTTGCGCGGCGGTATTCTGCACGCCATGCGCTCGGGACGCGTGGCGGTTTTCTGCCCACCGCGCACCTTGGGCGCACGCGGCGGTTTCGCGTTCCGTCGACCCGCACGCCCGTCCCCGTCGACCTGCGTGCGGCTCCTCG